GTTGTTGCTGAAGCTGGCTATGGTGGTCGAACCCAAGCGGAGCACCGAAGTCCGGAAAGTCGGGAGAAGCGAGGCGAGTGCGCCAGACGCGACGCCAGGGCGGAGCGCGAGACCCGTTCGCGTAGTAGTACCAAATCCGCGTCAGCCGGTCGACGATCGCGCGCCGCGCGGCTGCTGGGTTTGCGTGGGTCGTATATGTACCGCGCACGCGCGCGCGGCGGGCACCGGGCGATATCCCCTGCTCCCCCTCCTTTACGCACCTCCTCAACTCGTACTCGACGCGACGACACCCGCGCACCTGCCGCCGACGCACAACGGCCCTCCGTTCAGACGACCCGGTACATGTGCACTAGCCCGCTTCCCGGAACGCCCCGGTGAGCACCCCGATGTCTCCGTACTGCACGCTCGCTCACGGAGACCGTCTCGGCAGGATCTAGCGAGAACGGTGAGCAAGCGGGCTCCCGACAAACGCAAGAACGCACCGTGCATCTCACCTCCGCAGCTCCAGACTGGCACCGCACCGCACATCCCCGACGCGCGTTGTGCGGGACTACGTGCTGTGCGACGGTGAGCGCTGCGATTCGGCTTCCTGCTGGCTGCGACATGGCTGACCTCGAGTGTGTTCTCCGGGTGCAGAGAACGCAGCGCGGAGGTGCGGCGACGACGATAGAGGTGGGGGCGAGGGCGGGCAGAGCGGAAGGACGGCGGCGCGTGGATCGGGCGCGAGAAGGTACGTGCGAACGCGAGATAGATGAGAAGATGGAGATCGCGTTGAGGAGCGTGCGCAACGGCGGCGCGCGCGGGGAGGACCGTCGTGTTCAGCGCAGTCATCGCTACGCGAGGGCCGCATCGACCTTCACATTCTGCTCCGCCGTGCGCCGCAGTCCTTGCTCCCGGCCGCAGACGAGGCCCGTGACGTTGCTGAGCAGCATCTGAATCTGCAGTGGGAATAAGTGAGTCTCCCGTGCGCACGGCGGCGGGGGTTCCATACGAGCCTCGGACTTCATGTGTCCGCGTCGGTGTCGACGTGCCCCGCACCGTCCCGCCGCTCGACGACTGCGGTACAGTCTCCGCGCACCTCCCCGAGCAGCGGGCGCAGCCTCGTGCACGCCCATAAGTGCGCTCCCCGCGCGACATGACCATCGGCGGCGGGACGGTGGCGGGACGCCGAATTTGATGATCCGGGGCCTGAATCGGAATTCGGGCGAGCACGACTCGCTCGTTTGTGCACAGATGGCGTCGATATGTGAGGGGCGTGCGTATCTTGGTACGCTATGCCTGTGGCTCCGTTCGCAGACGCATGAGCCGCGCCGTCAGGGGGCGAGATCGACGGTGATCGTCGCGCGTCGAGGCTCCTGCGACTATCCAGCCGAATCACAAAGTCGTCACGCACGACTGGAACAGTTCGAGCGAGCCTGGGAGGTGCCTCGGAGTGCGCCTGCGAGTTGGCGGGGCGCCAGAGGGCGGGACGGCGGCGGGGCAGCGGTCGCACGCGCTCAGTCGCGCCGACACCAATGAAATCAGTCGAAAACGGCCGATTTTTTTTCTCCTCGGATCGCGCCGCCGCGCGGTGGGCGCATGCGTCCTGGTGCATAGACTCTGCCGTCGCGTTTTGAGAGGCCGGGTGCGCGCCGTTAGAGCGCGACGTCGATATCTTGGTGTCGGGCCTCCCCGCGGACTCGGCCCGACGTCTGCGTCGTTGGTGTCGTTGTACGGCGCCGGCACCGTCGGGAGCACTCGAGGGTGTCCCGAAGAGGCTGCACGCGGAGGCGGGGACGAGGGGGCGCTCCGTGGCAGAAGTTGTACGAGTTTTTGATCCGGGCGCACCTGAAAAAACGACACGGTCAGCGCAGTTTGCGTACGTTCGGGCTGAGAACGCACCTGAAGCGGGTCCGGAAAGGTCCTCGTGCGATACTCGAGGATGGGCGTCGGGGGCCGAGGTACGCGCGCCGGCTCGTTCGACAGCGACGCGCTCGTGATGGTCCTGCCGCCGAAATATGCGATTTGCGTCGATGTACGCGCTCGTACGCGGTTAGTGGCAGCGGAGGGCCGCTGCGACCGTCCACGGTGATGTCCTGTCCAGGATTCACGTCGATAGCGAGTGAGACGGCGACGGGACAGGCGATGTGTTTCGTGTCTGCCCAGCAAATCGGCCGTTCGCCAATGAAATTGGCCGATAGCGACCGAATATTTTTTGCTCGGATCGCGCCCAGATTGGAGACGTGTATGCGCCGAGGTGCATGGGAGCCCTCCGTCGTGTTTTAGAGGCTCCCGGGCACGTCGCCGAAGCGCGAAGTCGATGTTGTGCCCCGGGGTCTGGCTCCAGGTGCGGCGCCACGAGCGCGTGCTTGACGCGACGGTACAGCGCCGGCGTCGTCCTAGGCGGACAGGCACGTTCCGAAGAGGCGAGGGCCGGGCGCAGAGGCGGAGACGAGCGCTGCGGCACGAGTTCTTCGCGTTTTTGCGCGCAGGCGGCCTGTAAACACACGATTGTGAGCGCAGTTCGCGTCGGCGGCGGCTGGAAACGCACCTGATGCACGATCGGCACGTCCTGGTGGTGCTGTGCTCATCTCGCGCATGCCCACTCCGTTATTGCGGTGAGAGAGTCGACGGGGATCGGTGAGGGGTCGTGTACCGGTGAGCGGCACGGCGGGCGCGGCGAGCGCGATTTCCACACGCATGCGGGTGCGCCGTCATCGTACGACCAGGGCGTATCCTCTGTCGTCGGTTCAGCGCGGCCCATTGAGTTGCGCGTGCGGGGCATCGAGTACTTCGCGTAGCAAGCTTGAAGCGCTATCAAAGTAGAGATAGTGAGCGCAATTTGCGTCCGGACGGGCTAGAAACTTACCCGGAAAAAGGCCAGAGTGCCGCCGACGACCTCGCATAGATAATTCGCATACCCGTTGACGTAGAACGACGCGAGGGACGAGGAAGGGCGGGGAGGTGCGACAATCACTGCGGTCGACGGAATGCAGCGGCGTATTTGTACTCGTGATAGCGTCATGGGGCTAGTATGTCTAGTGATTCCCGGTCGTTTGTAGAGCGAAGCGTCGAGGTTGCATGTCTGCAGGGCGTGTTCACCGCCTGGCGAGTCCCGGTGTGTCGGGGCCACAGACGCCGCAGCAGCACTGGAGCGGGCGCAATCTGTCCGGAGGCGCTTCAGGGGTATACTAGGCAAGCTATATGCAAACTATGAGCACAAACGGGGCGGGCGAGGACGAGAGAGGAAGGGGACGGCCCGCAGGTCGCCTTGAGCAGCCATGAGCGATGGCGGGCCACTCAGGCCAATCCGTGTGGAAAGCGTGTCGGAGGCGCGTCGAGAGCGACCAAGTGGGCTTCTGACAGAGGAAAGCGATCCGGCGATCGAGCGAGAGAGGGCGCGTCGAGGGTGGAGAGAGACCGTGGACAGCGCTCTGGCAGGCAGCTCGCCAGGGCTCGCTGACGTCGATGCTGTCAGAACGCGTGTTAGACGCCCGCCGTCGATCACTCTCAGCCACAGACGCGTTTCGCTCTGCCCTCGAGCAGCCTTCCCCGCGACCGAGCTGCGAGGCACGTCCGACGCTGCCGTGACCAGGGCTGTCGGTAGAGTCGCAAACGGCTCTCGGTGCGATCATCTGCCCCTGCCTTTTGTGCGCTCGCTTAGCCTCCTCCGCGACCACTTATCGCACTCTCCCCGCTTCCCGCCTGTTGTCATCCCCCACCCGACCAACGCCGCCCACAGCGGCGCACTCGACGTGCACGCAACCATCCACGCGCGACTCATCCCACCCGAGGTCTCTATGGGCGCGCCCTGTCCGCTTCGCCCGCTTCTCTCCACGGCACCTCCCTAAATTGCCTAGATCCGCTCTGGTGGCGTTTGCGCCCACAGATCTCCAGATAGCATCTACAAGCCCATCCCCTCCGCGCCGGACGCGCTAACCGTCTTCCCATGTGCATCCGTCCCCACCCCGTTAATCGTGTGTCTCGGCTCGGCGCCTCGAAGGCAGAGGCACAGAACTGCACATGTACTGAGCGTTCTCCATCAGGTTCGAATGGCGGCGGCGGCGGAACGCTCAGCGAATCGCCGTGATGTGGGGGCTTAGAGTGGCACCAGGTGGCACCCCACAGGCGCAGTGCATCAAGGTCCTCCCAAAAAGAGCGTCGAAAATCCATCAGCGCGTTAGGATTTAGAGTTGTACAGGGCCTAAGCAAATTGCTATGAAACGCATCCCAGAGTCGCGGGAGGCTGCGCGAGGGCGCCCCGTAGTTAGGAGGAGGAAGACAACGACCGTCCCACTCCGTCCAATCCACCTGAATCCAGGCACGAACGTAGGCTCGTCCCCTGGCAGTGGCTGGCGAGTCTAGTACGAGCGATGAATATTATTTGGTACAAGCCCAGTCAATATTCAGCACGTATAACTCGCGTGAATTGCCCGTGAATCAAGTTTCCCTCGGAAGGGGCTCATTAATTGGGGGGGATTAGGCCTTGGTGGGGATTCGGAAGTCATCCAGAGCGAAGATCTTTTAGGGAAATGATGTGAATGACCCAACAATCTCCACTGAGCTTGAGATACTGTACCTCCAGGACCAAAGCGGCGGGTCACAGGTCACAGCGACCTCCGCCGCGCCGCTTTAGGGGGTGTGTCCCGCGTCACAGTCGCCCCCGCCGCTTCAGCGGCGGCGAGCCGACGCCGGTCACACTCCAAAAAGGCGTTTTCGGCGGCCCTGCGGGGCCCCGCGCCGCTTTGCCTACCGGGCGGTCACAGGCACCGCCGGTCGCGCCGCTTTGGGCGGTCGTGTCCGGCCGGTCACACCCCAAACCCCCCGCCGCTTTGGTCCTGGAGGTACAGTATATGTGAACGTCGAGGGTACCTTGTAAGTTGCTGGTAAGTATAAAGTTGTTTGTAAGTATAACAGCTGTTACTCAGAACGAATATAGGCCCTTTCAAAAAAAAGTATTATGGACAGCTGTTTCGCGCGGCGACGCCGATACGAGTAGGGCGAGGGTGTACAAGCCCAGACCCGCGCACCTTCTGACGGTATTCGCTACCTACTACTCGCCACACGCGGAAGGTTGCCGCCACTTCTGAGCCGGAAGGGCTATCTATAGTTGTTTTTACGGAAGCTCATCCATTTTTAAACAGCTGAAAGCTGCTTGTAAGTATACATATGTCGCGATTGAAGTTGTCGAGACCCTGACCGTCTGCCCATCTTTATGCAAACGACGGTAACACCCGATGTGCGTGGAGTCGACTCGCCTTGACAAAATTCTGGAAAGTCAAAACTGACACGCACGGACATATGGTCTCTTCAATTATGTATCTGATTGTTCTCGACGGCGTTGGTCTGCGTTTTCCTGGCGAGAAACATAGAATGTTCGTGAGGAACGATGTAGGCGCCCACTCGCGGTGAGTTTCTGTCGTTCACGAGCTAAACGGTAAATCTCGAGGTCGCTGAACTCACCAATATTACACGCAGCTCACTCACTGCTACTTGGAAGGGTGGATCAGGTCCGTTCACTGTGCCGTACTCTGGGGGTGAGCTCTGGATCCTCGCCGGCGGGAGCGGCGATAGGTAGGCGCCCTGTCGGCCTTTAACATTCAGGGGCAGTCGCGTTGCAACATTGATTCCATTATGGCATTACGGACGCGCAACCCGATAATGTCCTGGATCATCAGAGCATTAATGCTTCCCCCTTTTCCCCTGGCTACCCGCGTCCGTCACCTGTCGAGCCGCGGGTGCTCTCTGTGCTTACGATACGACCCAGCACCTGCATGATTTCCTGTTGGCGCTGCAAGCATACGACGCGTCGCGCACCATCAGCACCAATCAGTAGAAGCCCCAAAATTTAAACACGCGCACCTCTCTGTCTGCCGCCTGCGCGGTGGGGAACATGGCCGGGACACCGAGCGCCTCGAGCGCGGCCTGCTGCTTCACCAGCAGGCCGTCCCATGCTGGCAGGACACGCTCGCGGTCGAACCGCTGCAGCTCGGCGCGAAAAGAGTCTGTCAACGCCTGTGTGCGTGCGCACACAGGGGCGCGCTATCAGCCAGCCGATCCGGGCGAGACGCGAGAGCCCAGGCGCACATCGGCTTCATATGGCGTCAGTCCAGCCCCGATGATGCTAGCTCTGCGCGGAGGAGGGGCGAGTGTCAGCGGCGTCGTGCTAGTGTGCGCTTCCATGCCTCTCCTCGCGCCGCGAGGGGGGAGGGCGGTGGGTGGAGCCGGGGGACTCACTTGGTGCGTGCGGTGTTGACCTTCTCTTCGTGTCCGCGCTGGATCTCGCGCCGCTCCTTCCACAGCTGCCGCTCCAGATCTGCCTGCTCTGTCCGCATCTGCAGACACACGCGGATCAGTCAGTGATACATTCGGACCGTACAGCGAGGAGCAAGAGAGCGCGCGACTTGGACGCACCGCAGCCAACGCCTTCAGAAAATCCGCATTGGCGGAGAGCCGCGCGAGATGGGGGAGCGCCTGCTGGAACGTGCACGCCCGCACGTCCTGCCGCTGCCTCGCCGCGGGAGCGGGTGCCGGGCCCGCGTCCGACGAGCCCGTGCTCATGCTGCTGGGGAGCGCCGCCGCGTCCGGACCGGGGAATTCTGGCCCTCCAGAAGGCGGCTGCCTAGGCCTAGCTATTACTGGCGTGCTGCTGCTGGTGGGCCCCGCTACGACCGCGGCGAGGCTGCGGGAGGTCTGCAGCTGCGATAGCAGGGACGCCACCGAGTGGGCGTTGGGGGGTCCGCTCGATTGGGCCCCGGTGGGTGGTGCTTCGGGTTCAACGAGGCCGCGGGGGCCGGCGGGCACTGGTGCCTGTGAGGTCGTGCTAGCCGCATTACTAGCTGTTACAGGGTGCGTTTCTTGGGCCGCGGATGCAGTATTCGCAGCTGGAGGCTGGGAAGCTTGAGAGGCCGCCGTCGCCGCGTTGACCGTGTTCTGCCATGCTTCCGACGACCTCAGCTGGTCCAGCAACGCCTGAATCGCAGCGGGGTCCTATTTTACACGTTATCACAGTGTCCCTTCTGTCACGAATAGCTTCCCAAACATGCACTTACATTGATGTTGGAGGAGCTCATCGCCGTCTCTCGTCGCGTCGAGCGCCAAAGACGCGTCGCTCGTGTGACCGAGCGTGACTTCCAGGAGCAAGAACGAAAACGGTCACACTTTGCACTCGTCCGGTCACATCCTACGACGATCCCAATCTCGTGTGCCCAGATCACCTTTCAGTTTGGCATGTCCGATCCGCAGGAGCGACGCTTCCGATTCTCAGCCTACAACGTCCGCGCGCTGTTCATTCGCACTGACATACCGCGCCTACGTACGTCGACGCTACGTACACATGACATAGCGAGGGAATACACGCCCACCCCACAGACAACACGCCCAGGCAATGATGCGCCGGGCTCTGCACGACCCCGCGCGCGGTGCGACGCATGCCGGGGCGTGTGTGCGTCCCCCTGCGCGGACTTGGGATTCGATATTGCCTTGTGCTGAGAGAGGAAGAAGGAAGTGGGATCGAGCGATAGAACTCGATCGTTGCGACGCGCGACGGGCCAATGTTGATGAGAGTGCTTTGCATCTCGGGAGGACGTCCCGGCGTAATGATCAGCGCGAGGCCTGCGTTCACAATATTAACGGATTTTCATTCGCCGTGCGCCAATCCTGCAAAAGCGTACCGCCGCGGCGGATGCTGTGCTGCCGCACTATGGGGCGGCCGTGCAAGTGGGAAGGAACGCTTCATTTCTGGGCCCGTACGCAGCTCCCGCGATGGACAGGTGCTAAATGGACGCCTGGATGCCGCCGGGAGCACTGAATGTGGGTCGCAGCGGGGAGCAGGACGCACGCACGCGCCGCCCCGATCGAAGCCACTCCAGATGGACGATTCCCATACCCAGGAGCCTGGAGGTCGGGCATTAGGGCGAAAAAGCAGGGTCGTCCGGTTGCGGGTACCTGAGGGGAGCTCCGTAAGGTGCGTGAGAGCATCGAAGCGAGAAGGAGGCCGGGGGGCCCGTGGTCGAAATGAAGGGAGCGACGCCACCACGGCGCTGCGGAGCAAATTGGGAAAGTTATGAGAACGCATGCGAGAGCAGCGGTGCATGCACGCACCTACGATGCGAGTCCTAAAGGTTCCGGGCCGTCGTGGTAGGACAGGAAGATCGCGGTACGCAGTTGTGTGTCACGCACTCAAGCCTTAAGTCGTACTTTACGTTACTATAAAGGTGAGCTCCTCGGAGCGCGCCGCACGCTTCCGTGGGTGTCCATGCAGCTAGGAAGGCAAGAAGTCGGCCCCGCGGTCAACACGCCGCGAACAACGATATTATCTGGCTGCGTTTTGATAGGCATCTACAGAGCGATGCGCCACGGGAGAACAGGGGAACACCGCTACGTTACCTGATATTTCGGGATGTCCCGCGCAGCCGGCTACGAGCCGCAGCGGGAAGCTGCTGCCACACGGAGATGCTTGACCACGAGCAAAAACGTGTCAGTATATGTCATTGGCGCACCTCGAGCAATCCAGTCCGTAGCGTGGCCAGCTTGGGGCACCGTCGAGGTCGAGACCTCGCCGGCATGGCCATGGCGAAGCGGGTGTTGCACGACGGTCAACCGGAAAAACCGGGGAGGCACGATGTCAATATGCCAGCATGCATGTGAGCGCGCGCACCTGCAACGCGGCGGAGAACGGAGGAGATCTCCTATGTCAACGGCGATCCGGTGAGAGCGCAAACGTCAAAAGTGTACGTAGGTCCACGTACTTGCAAACCTTTTATGCCGCGAGTCGTCGCACTCGTGCACGGCAGGGCGGAGTGGGCGCGTGAAACGGTCGCCATGTACAGGCCACGCTTGGAGGAGCGCCACCACGGCTGTCTGACATCTGAAACACAGCGACCGACGCTTGGTGCGCACGCCCCTGCACGCCCACGCTGCTAGGTTTGGGAAGTAGCCTAAACCGGCTGTGTATACGAAACGAGTCAGAGCGCTGGAGATCTGGGATGTTTGAAGCCCGCGCGCGGTACGGGGTTCAGAACAAGGCCGCCGTGTGTAGGAGCCGCATCATTCGGCGGGTAGACTCGGCCCCGCGACGAATATGAGCTCGAGACGTTGTCGGATCCTCGAGAATGGACGCTGAAACGAGTTCGGAGGTGATTATGAGGTCGAGGACATGGCCGTTGTGTTGAACGCCGGTGCCTGCGCAAGAGACCACGGACCGAGAAGCAGCTTGCCTAAGCCGGGCGCTTGGAATATGGTTGCCTGGAAAGGGGCAGCAATTGATGGACATTGATTGACCGGCTGATTCGGGCACGGAATCGGCAGCCGCTGGGCACGTTCAGTGGAGTGCGCAGGCGGCCTCATGGCGAAGAGCAGTCGGGTGGGTGTGGTGATGGAGGTGATTGGGACGGGGCCGACAGTCGAGGGTGGTAACGCAGTCGAGTTGCGTGGACGAAACGTAAGGAGCTCAGCCTCAGTCAGTCCGCCGGCGACGCAGACGGCGGTGGACCGGGCGGGTGCTGGCCAGCTCAGGTCGGGGCACAGCCGGACGCTGCGGCGGGGGCACGGCGGGGCGTTGTGAGGCGGCGGCGAAAACTGGGGAGCCGGGCGCGCGCCGGATGTGTGGGGCGCGCGGCACGTCCAAAATGACTAAATGAAGGAATTTTCTGCCGACGGCCCTGTTTCGCGTGTCTGGAACAGGCGGCGGCACGTGGGAGTTTCGGTCGAAAAGCTGGGTTGTCAACGAGTTTCGCCAGGCGCCCGCCTCGCCTCTTGTCACCGTCCGTCCTCATCTTCGCCTTCTCCCCCGACCTCCTCCTCCCGCCCGCCGTCTTCTTGCGTCCTCTTCATTTTAAACCGTCTCTAGTCTCCTCTTTCGCTCTCTCTTTCGACTTCCCCCTTCTCCCTCCGCTGCCATGCCTCAGGAAGCGCCCCAGGCGACTTCGTCGCACATGATGAAGACGACAAAACGCGGCAGACCCTTCCTCAAGGTGCGTTGCACAATCCGCCCCTCCTCACGCGCCACTCACGCGGCCATTTTTTCTCCGCAGGATACGCTGGATCTGTTTGCAACACTCGTTGTGTCCCTGGAGCTCAACACCAACAGGCAGTATTTCCGCAGCTTCCCCAACTCCTTTACAACGTACGTCAATCTGTTTAACATCCTGCGATCTTCCGCCCATCTTCGCATGACGTTTCTGCAGAGACGATGCAGCACGGAACTTGGCGTCGCTCAAGTTCTCACAATCGAACCGCGGACCTGATCCCCGAGAACCCTCTCGTATTGTCACGACCACGACGACTACGACTTTCTCAATGACCCGCGATATGGCGAAGGCGATGTGCCAGCAATTCATGGACGCACGGCTTATCGAGAACGCGGCCGATCCTGGCTCCAACCTCTTCAAGGAACGTGGTGTGTACGTGTTGACGCCGAAAGGCCTCCACGTTCTTGAACGGTTCATGAGCAAGAACGGTATCAACGGCGACCATCTCGCACATGTCTTCTCATCACAACCCATCTGCATGAAGCTCCTCCATCTCGAGCGACGGTCAGTCGACGACGAGATCATCGTCTCCCACTCCGCAATCACCGCCCTCTTCCGCCGCTTCGTTGGGCGCCAGCCTAACTACCCACCAGAGTTCGTCGAGACCATGGACGCCTTCCAGAAGTACCACGAGAGGTCCAAGGGCGTTGCGCTGATGGACGTCGCGGAGAAGGGTGCTGGCAAGGCGTCGGTCAACAACAAGAACTGTTTCGCTGCGGTGACAGCTTTGGAGTGGCTGTGCGACTTCACGTCCGTCATCGGCAGAGAGGAGGCGGCGGAGATGGCTGCCCAGTTCGTGCGGTTTGGCCTCATCAGCCTGGTCTCTGACAAGCGGAAGAACAACGATTCCGCTATCATCTTCACCGTCAGGGGCGCTGCGGGTGGTGCGAACTCCTCCATCGCGGTTTGTCGATTCCTTGGGCTGTTTATAACTCGCACTCACACGTTGCTTTCTAGCAACACGGAGAGTTCCGTTGCACGGCGAAGGCTATCTACAAGGTTACAGATGAGGGTCGTCGACTCGCGCGATGGGACATGCCGGACGGCGTGCGAGCCTCTCCCAACAGCTCAGCAGCGAACGTTGGGGCCAACGCGCGCGCTTCGGAGGACCGTAGCGTCGACAACGTCACGACGGAGGGCCCTAACCTGAGCGACGCCAAGATCCACCGCCGCATCTCCATGACCGAGAAGCTGAACGCGAGCTACGACGCAGAGAAGAAGGGGCAGAAGGAGTCGAACACGGACCGTCTCAGGTTCATCATGGAGGAGCCCCAGCTTCGGGTGCTCTTCCGGGACTTCTTGCGGAGTAACTTCTGCGAGGAGAACCTGTCGTTCTACCTCGACGTCCAGGACTTCAGAAATCGTTCTCGACGACCTCCAGTGCGATCGCTGCGAATCCCCCAGCAGCGAGGGCAGGACAGAAGGCGACGCCTGGTCAGCTTGCCATGGAGAGGCATCACGAGGCCCTCATCCAGAAGGCGTTCGTCATCTACAACACGTACCTTGCTCCCTCCAGTCAGAGCGAGCTGAACATCGACCACGGCCTTCGCAACGAGCTCTCGGCGTACCTCAGCGAGGTCATCCAGAGCATGACCGGCAAGTCGTTCCAGGGCCACGTCGACCTCGAGCAGGCGAACCACTTCAATGCGACGCAATTGCAGACGATGATTCGTCTGTATGAGCGTATCCAGACGCACGTTTTCCGGTTAATGGCGACAGATTCGGTGCCCAAGGTAAGCCATCTTCTGTCATGGGACGTATCAAAAGTCTGACGTCCGCCCCAGTTCATCAAGACACCAAAATTCCTGGCACTGAAGATCAAGCTTGTAGAGGACGACGACGGCCCTCTTGCGGACTTTCCGCTGATGGCCTCGAGCGCCTCGACGCCATCGGTACCACCAGGGCTGTCCTCCGGAGAGGAGGAGATTGGTGGAGCATACGTCACGATATCACAAAGAGCGGCGGTTCAAGATCGCACAGCAGGTGCTACTGAACAGCGATGACAGGGCTAGCCCCTCCTCAATGTTCTCGGCCGACACCTCTATGCATCTCCCCGCGCGCATCTGTTATCTTATGCTCATGTCAGTCTCTGGACCACATACATGCCTCTCCATGCATCCCACGCTCATACTTATGTCGTCATACAACAGTCTCCTCATGGTCGTCGCTCGCTTTGTGTCGTCGTCTCTCGCACATACACATTCGTCTTCGTCTTGTCATCCGGGCGGGTCCATCGTTCACTAATCATCGCTCATCGTCATCTACATCTCTCCACACTTTTTTTCTATTTGGGCTCGGTCCTATCTCGCTTCTCTTGCAATTCCTTTCATTTTCCTTCATCGTCCCCACATCCCATCGCCCCTCATACTCTTACAGTTTCCCCTTATCCACAAGAACATGTACGATCTATTATACCTTAGTACTGGTGATACTCACTAATGCAGACGTCCCAATGTGCTCCCCAGCATTCTAATACATGGCTCGTTCTCCTGTATGTACCCGCACCCCCGTTGGCACGCACCCGCCCCCTCGGGCCCACTTCAACGTGTGTGTGCTTGCCCTCGTTCGCTGAGTTAAAATGTGAGGCACGAACGAGCGCGAACGCTGCACGAGTGCCTGGTCAGGCCGGACCATGATGATGTTCAACGATGAACCGCCTTGGCGACTGGGGCTCGGGTTGCGCTGCCCGCGGAGGACGAGGGGGACGATGGGCGGATGGAGATGCATTTGGACCGAGAGCGCAATTTATCGTGAGGCGCCCGATATCAGAACGCCTCCGGTTCGGTGCGGATTTGGACGAAAGAGCGGGTCGTCTCGTCCGTGAGTACCAATCAGGCCTCAGGCGGGATCGATGGCTGCTCTTGAACTGACGTGCTTGCCAGAGTTGTTGCCGTACGGCAGCGTTCGGCGCGAGTCTGGGGGATTGATATTATTTCAGGAGCGGCAACTTCAAGCTCTCGCGGAGCCTGTTCTATCCTGTTGAACGATGAGCATCTCGAAGGAGCCGAATACAGCCGTTGGCTCTTTCGTCAAGTATCGCACTCTCCTTCTAATCGTACCACGACCTTGTTCTTCCTCACCGTTGGTTGTTTGCAAGCTATGGCCGACCCTTTGCTTGAACACGCCCCTATACACACTGGTGAACTGCCGCCGGGTGTGTATACCTCTATTTAGGAAAGAATCATATGGCAAGTTGGCAACGTGGCACTTCTCCCGGACGTCATTCCTTACTGCACAACGGTGTACACGACCGCACGAACAGACCGACTGCCCCTGGCTGACGCCCTCTTCACAGCGTCAAGTGTGTGTTATCGCACGAACAAACTCCCACAGCTGGCCGCAGTCGCTGAGTGGGCAACGTTTCCCTCTCTCACGACTCACGTCCTGCGCCTTGCAGCCGTTTGCCTCGCCACCAGCCTCTCTTCTCCTCCGCGGTCGGCTTCTGCTGTGTACACAGTCCATCTCCTGCAGTGCTAAGTGCTAGAATGTCCTGGATAATGAACCCCGAGGGCGACAGGCCCCAGCGCAAACGCCCGGCCAACCTCAAGGACTTCCCGAAGGGCCCGGACGGCAAACCACTGGGCCCCCAGACCCCCGGCGATGAACCTACTTCGCCCTGGGCGGGCTTTCCCCTCAAGGACGACTACCCGCAGGTGGAAGACCCGTCGGACCCCACCCGCACGGTGTCCACCAAGCAGGCGAACCGCCCCTTCCTTGCGTGAGTGGACCCCCTTTGCTCGCCGAGCCCCCCGTGCCGTGCCGCTGAACCCACGACCCATTGTGGGCGCACGCAGCTACGCGCAGTACCGTGCTGAACGCGAGAAGTTGCATGCGGACTGGCTGCAGCGCAAAAAGGAACGCGACGAGAAGCTCGCGCGCGGGGAGGAGGTGGGGCCCGAGGAGCCTGACCCAACCGAGGAGCGGGAGGTGGGCTGCCTCGGGCTGCTCAAGTTCATTCTCTACGCGACCCTGTTCGTCGTGCTCGCAGGCAAGTTCTTCACCGGCAGCTTCCTGTGGGAGATGGAGCTCCCGAGCGTCTCCCAATTCATGCCGGTGCGTGGCCGCGTCTCTCTCCCTCTTTCCGCCGCTGGGGCTCGGGTGGGACTCTGTGCGCCGCGCACCCGCCCTGTCCCGCGCGGTGGGCCCCGCTTCGCGTGTGCTGACGGCGGTTCCCGGCGTCTTCAGCAGAGTGGCCAGCGGCTTTTCTCGGAGAAGTTCCTCGCGCAGTTCGACGGAACGGACGCCGACCGCCCCGTGTACATCGCTGTAAGTCATGTTTCCGTCGCGATGTGTCGCGGCCGTGCGTGTACCCGCGAAGCTCACCACGAGTGCGCGCGATCTAGATCGACGGGGACGTCTACGACGTGAGCAGCAACCGTGCCACCTACGGCCCTGGGGGCTCTTATCATATGATGTACGTGCACGCGCCGGACGCCTTGTCGTCGATCTGCTCGCACGGGCGCTCACCCTCTTCCCGGCTCGCGCTGCTTCCCATCACCGCAGGGCTGGCAGAGATGCCGCGCGTGCATTTGGAACCGGGTGCTTCAAGACGCACCTCACGCATGACCTCCGCGGCCTAAGCGAGAGCGAAATGAAGGTGCGCTGGCCCAGACTTCCGCGGGCGCCCGCCCATGCGTCCTTGCGCGCTGACTGACTCGGTCGGGTGATGCGGCATTGCAGGGCGTCGAGCACTGGAAGAAGTTCTTCGGCGAGTCGAAGAAGTACTCCAAGGTGGGCCGGGTGTCGCACCCCCCGATCGACCCTGCGAGCGACTACCCGGAACATTGCGATCCGAAGAAGGCCCAAGCGGCGCTGGATCGCGAACGCAAGGCGAAGGAGGAGGCCGCGGGCGCAAAGGACGCGAAGCGCGAGGAGCTCTGATGCGGTACGTACCGCGCGCACCAGAACGGGCCCGCTCGCCGCAGCGCACGCCGTATGCACTCCTCGTCCGACGCGTTATCTGATCAATCGTCTGGTGATATACAATAGGGGCAATATTATACGGAGATCTTGTACTATACGCCTGCTACAGAACAAGGGAGCGACTACATAGTCCGACGCGCAGCGAGTGCGATCCGTGTGCGAAGCTGGGGTGAATCAACGCGTCGGCCAGCGCCGCGGGGGCGCCCGACTGGACAGAGCCACTGCCTGGGTAACGATAGTGAGTGAGTACAGTTCCGATTCAAAGCGAGATCGATGAGCGCTGACCTCTACGACGGCGCTAGGTGAGTAGACAGGTAGTTCTTGATGATTGGGAAATCCGCCATTGAGGCATCGATCATCGTGGAGTACTTCGTGTCCTTGTACTTCGCCACGACGAGGTTGCCCCGCCACGCGTTCGCCTCGACGAACCTGTCGCCCTCAATTTCGCGGATGCACTTGTTCACAGGGAACGGCATGCCATCACGCGAGACGACCGGGTAGAAGACGATGTAGGGCGTCGCGAACTTCTGGAGCATGCCGTCGAGGGCTTCTACGAGCTGCAGGGCGCGTGCGGGAAGAACAAGGTGAGTGAGTTCGGCGAATCAGCGATACAGTCCGGTGATTAATCTTGGGAAATTAGACACACATGGAAGCGCCACGCCCGAGACCCGAGCTGGTCGGCAATGTAGTCCATGTAGACCTCTGGGTGCGGCATGCGGCCGCAGCGGTAGGGCTCGGCGGTGGCGGAGAAGGTGAGTGCGCTGGTCATGAGTGGGACGACGTAGGGCGGGCGGTCGTCGGCGGGGAACGAGATGGCGTCGAAGGTGACCATGTCGGGGGTGGACATGGTGCGCGGTTCAGTGGGGAAGAGAGAGGGATAAAATTAGGCGTAAAGCAAAGGAGAGAACGTCTACGGTGGAGGGCGAGTACTGATGTGCAGGCTGTTGCTTACTGTCCGGAGAGGACGCGAGGGCGAGAACTTATATACGTCTTGCCGCGCAGGGGCAGGAGTCGATTTCCATCCTGAAGATGGGCTCCGCCGCCTGCGGAAGCCTAGGAGAGACCGGGGCGATGGTGACGGGTTGTGTGCGATCCCAAACGCGAGCCGTCCCCTCACGCGGCGACCGCATGGGCGATCGCGAGCTCGTACGGCAGAAAATGTGTTGGGTAATGCGTAGGCACCATACCGGGTTCCAGGAATGGCGAGTTGAGTCAGGAACTTAGGCGTGGGATGAGAAGGGCGTTGTGGAGAGGGACGAGAGGGCGTGGGCGACAGTGGGGGAACATGTCGGGGAGACGGCTCGTGCGGTGCAGCGCTGCAGCCTGGTGCGGAAACCGGCTGTCCATGGAGGATTGCACGAAGAGTGCACCCACTCGACGCCAGAATATGGGCCTCTGATTGCCCCTTGCGGGAAGCAGACGCGCGTGACGCCTGGTAAATACGGTGTGACGGTGTCACACAAGCGCGTCGGGTTGAGGCTCGCGTCTGCCTGCAGTGCGTCCTTGCTCTCTCGTCCTTCGCTCACAGTCTCCGTCCTCCTGGGTCCCTCATTCATCAATCTCACCGGCCTGGATCCTCGCCTGCGTGCGCACTGCGCGTCCCTGTCTTCTCTTTCGGTGTCTGATGGAGCCCAGTGTCCTCGTCGCGTCCCATGTCTCCGCCCTCTTCCCAACTTCCCAGCCCATTCAGGTCTACTCGACACAGAAGGACATACCTAATCTGCCCCGGCGAAATGACCCGGGCCACCCTCCAGAACACGCGACATACTCCTCGCTCTTCCACACACCCCTCACAGGCACCATTCTCCTACGAGTGACCAATGGCGGCTTCGTTCTCGAACTCCTCTCTTTGTCCACTGACATACCACCTCTGCGCTTTGACTTCCCTGCCGTTATACTGCCGGCACCCTCGATCGTCATGTGGGAATCTGAGGAACTGCACGTCCTCCTCGCCACCAGATATGGTTCACTCTACAGGATCGTCATTCCCGTACGCGAAGGTGCCCCGCTCTGGACTCCGCTCGCAAATAGGAGATGGTACCGTGAATACGTCTTACAGACCGGCTACGGCGAAGGGCTCGTACAGGTGCAGGGCACGCATTGCGTTGTAATCTCGCAACCGAATGGTTCTCTGCTTCGACTGGAGGCAGACGCGCTGGGCAGCGACACACAGGATGGTAAGCAAATAGCCCTTCGTCAGCTAAGCTTTACGGCTCAATTGCCTCCGCCCCTCGACCAGACGTCTGGCGCGAGTCCAGGTCCGACGCAAGGTCATTCCTCCACTCGATCGCCTCGCTGATTCCTGCGTTGCACTCCGCTCCTCCCGGCGGTTCAGATATTATATCCATCTCGACCCACCCACAGCCGACGGACATCGGGAACGTATGGACCCTGTCGAGAGACCGCCATCTCCGCATGTGGACCGCGAGAGGCGGATGTGTCGCTGAGTGCGCGCTCCCTCCAACCCCTCCGGGGCGCAGCGTGGCGGCTAGGAACGCTTCTCCCGCTCCTGTAAATCCGTCGGTGCTTCTCCCGCCTGAGCCGCAGACATTGATATGCGTGTTCACGCCTTCTCACTCGGACGACCCGCATGTACTCGCTTTCATCCCGACTGAAGGCTCTTTGAACTCTGGCGGCTTCTTCCAGCTATTTGTCGTAAATGGCGATACTCTGCGGCCACTGACAGTCTTCGAGGCGTCAGAGACGAGTGTCCACTGCCACCTACAAGACTTCACTGTGCTCGACGACACGCTTTACACGCTCTGGGACACCCAAGGTCAGTCTATGGTCGAGGTCAGAGGCCTGGCTTGGGACGCGTCCGAAGAGCAAACCACTGGGGGCTGGAGCTCGGCGACCTACGCGCATGAAGCTGAGCTCACCCCTGCATACCTTGACGAGCTACTGCTTTCTCCTGGCTCGACTGCCGACAAATTCTTCGAGGCCATTATGCGCCCAGGAATATTCTCCCCACTCACCCTCCAGACCGCCATCACCCAATACACCGACGCATACCGCTCTCTCCCACCTCCCCATCCAACACCATTACTGCTTTCGTATACGACCGTCGCAGAGCAGATTGCTTCCGTTGTCGGCTGCACCGTGCAGCGCACGAAGGATCCCAAGACCGGCGCGCCACTCGACGAGAATTACTGGAACGCGCTCAAACGTGACTGGGAAGGCTTCATCGCGCGGTGTCGAGAGATTGAGCGGAACGGACGGTGGCCGCTTGCCATTGGGCGCGGTGACCCGGAGGACGGTGTTCTCGTCATCGAACGCGAGCGTGTCGCATCTCTGGCAGGCGAGGACCTACCGCTTCGCCTGCACAGGAAATTGTCTGCTGACCACGTTATGGATGCCCAATTCGCTCTCCTGGACGTGTTGTGGACGATGCGCAGGAAGCTAGGACCCCGTCTCATGCTCTCCTTGGAGAACAGCCTCCACGACCTCGTTCACCAGGAGATCGCGTTCTCTTACACAGACATCATCCAGCATCAGGCGCGCGCATCGGCCTTCCGCGAGCAGGTCGACGAAGGGCTGGAAAACTGGATTGTGGGCCGTCTGCAGGGTATCGGCAAAGTGCAAGAGGCCGCTCGCTTCGTCCTGGACATCATCGGCGGATTCGACAAGGAGGTGAAGAGAGAGGAAGAAGACGCGGAGCTCCTGTCGCGCCCCATCAGCCCTGACTGGTTGAGGGCCCTCTCCGCGTCATATGCCTCCACCTCCGTGCACGCGCGTTACGACATATCGCTCGCCCTCGTGACGCTCCTCTTCTTCCTTGCCGATGAGTTGCACGAGTGGGACCAAGGGCTGCTGGCGGAGATTTTCGTCGTGTTTCGCGGAATTGCGATGCTGCGCTACGTAGCGCGGCAGCCCGCTGGAGACAACGCGACTCCGACCGCTCAAGCCCAGCCGGGCGCCCCCGGGGTCGAGGATGATGTTGTCGCGAAGCTGCGCAACATGCACGTTTCCGCTAGCCGCGGCGCCAAGTTCCAGCCGACGTACTCTCTGGTGCACCGGCTAGTGAACCTGTACGGGCACTCCCCGGGCCTCCCCATCTCGGCGCACCGCTTCCTCGATGCTACCGGCCTTCTGCAGTCTCTTTCGGCGGCGCATGCGACGCGGCTCGAGGTGCTATTCTGCGAGCGGCTCCGGCGCTTGGGCTATCGCGAGGTGGCCCGGGAGGTTTTGGCATGGCTCCCGCGTACACCGGGCGTGACGTACGTGCTGGGCCGTTTGTGGTTAGACGAGGGACGGTATGACGACGCAGCGTCTGCAATGGAGATCCTCGCAGGCAGCTTCGGTGAGTACCCGCCGCTTCTTCTGATTCGTTGTCTCCCTGAGCTGCGGCATTTAACACCCTTGGCATTGTACACAGGGCCACACTCTGCGCTGTCGTTTGACGATCAGGAAGCGGTGGCTGTCGTGCTCGCTGGCGAGAAGACGTTCCCGGCGCAGTTCGAATTCTACCTGCATGTGGCCGAGTTGTTCAAGGCCGCGCTCACGACCTATCACGACGTCTTCTTCACTCAGCTCGCACTTGCTGTCGCGCCGCCTGGCATCGACACCCTCGCCTTGTGGCACAGCGTAATAAAGGGGCTCACTGATCTAGGACAGTACGAGGACGCATACGCCACCCTAGTGTCGGCACCATATGAAAGACTGTATGTTAGCGGCAGTGCTTGCTTCTTTCCCGCTCCATGTTTGCTGATGCCGGCGCCACAGGCGGAGGGAGTGCATAAGTCAGCTGCTGTACCGGATGTGCGAGGAGAATGCGGTCGACCGGCTGATGGCCCTCAATTTCGCGGGCCTCGCCGACGAGGTCGAGGACGCGCTCGCGTTCAAGGCTCGACATGCAGACCCGCGCATCCGGCCGTTCTACTCGCGCATACTCTACACGTGGTATGTGTCCAGGGGCGATTATCGCAACGGTGCGTCCGGCTCCTCTTACGCCCCCCTCCGGCGTTTTCGGGCGGCATGCTGAATGAAATGGACGGGTTCCTAGCCGCATTGACGATGTACCAGCGCGCGCGCAAGCTCGCGGCCCTGATGGGCGATCCCGCTGCCTTCGTAGAGCTCGCTGAGTTACAGCTCGAGGCCTACGTCGTCGCCATGAACTCTCTCGCTCTCGTTGACCCGAAGAACCAGTGGATCACGCTTCCGGTCACAGTCGAGACGGGGCATGAGGTAAGCGGGCTATTGTCGGTAAAGAAGTCGTCGTATGCTAAGTTGAACGTGTCCGCCCGGCCAGCCGCGCAAGCGCCGCCGGCTCTCAAAACACATCCCGGAGAGCAAGTACGCGCCGGGGAGCCGCGATGCGGAGATGGTGGAACTCAAGGACATGCAGTACGAGTACGCCTTGTTGTCCGCGCGCGCCGCGCTCGTACGCGGGGACCCCACGTTGTTGTCGGCCGGTGGTGCGTTCTCTCTTAGTTTGGATGCCGGGACGCTGTTTCATGTCGGGCCAGCAGAACTCGCGCTGCCTGCGCCGTCCATCGTGCTCAGGCTGGCCCAATCGAACCGCTTCAACACCGCAATGACGACTGCGCGCAGCCTCGCCGTGGACATGTCGGACCTTTTTGGCCACCTCACGAGCCGCTGCTTGCGGCTCTCGAGGCGTCCAGACGCAGTGATGTAAGGCCCCTATTTTTTGCCCTATCGCGCTGGGTTGCTCATGCACCTTTTCTGCCCGTGCAGGAGTGAGGATACGTCCGATTGGCTGCTAACAGACAAAGTGTCGTCGTGGCCTGGGACACCGGCGGAGAAGGGCTGGCGGTACCTGCGGCAGTCGCTGGAGCGGCACGATGGCCCTCAAACGGACTACAGGTATACCAAGGTCGCATTGGAGACGATCATGGCGTTTGACAGGTCGTCCCCTCCGCCCCCGTGGCTGATACATACGCTCGAGGTGAGCCTGTCCGCCCGCTATCCCGGGCGCTGTTCGCTGAATGCATCTGGGTCCCCGGAATTCCAGGAGCACCACGCCGAGTACCTGATCCGGACGTGCCTGCGGTTCGAGGTGCTGGAGGCCGCGCTGGACCATACGCTGGGGCTGATGCGCAGGGTGAGCCCTTCCTTCCCTTATTTCCCTACCTTCTTTCTGCCTCCGTGCTCGCCCCGACCTGCTGCGCACGATTTAGAGCGCGCTTCTCCGCTCCGCCTTGCCTTGCGAATTGAACTCTGACGCGCGGACACCCTCCAGAGCGACGCACGCCTCACGGACGAGCTGCCAAAGACGGCCGCGGCGAGCTGGCTGCCGTACACGCTCGTCGATCAGGTGCTCGTCGCGGCAGAGTCCCAGGCCGACCTCTCGGTGCGCGGGCGGCACCTCCTGGGCGAGCTGCGCGCGGAAATAGGCAGTCGGATGAAGAGGGTGCAAAAATTCAGCCCCGCCGCCGCGTAGGGCGGGGCGACGCGGTTGCCTTATGCGCACCGCAAAGGAGGGCATGTATTGTATGTACCGGCCGCTGCTGCTGCCGCTGTAACCACCCCAGAGGGCGGCTTCTTGTCTTCTTGCGATTGCTCTTCGCCAAGCCAGGTGTCAACGCCCTGGTTCTGTGGGCCGTGGGGGTCGGTGCCCGGGCTTTTAGTAGTGAAGGCGCGATGGAGGGAAAGAAGGGCCCTTCTATGCTGTAACGACTTCGAAGCCGCATGCGACCGCCACCCCCGATCGTGCAGACGCGTTGGGTATGTGCATAGCAGAGCTGCCGTCTTGCGATGCAGCCGCCAAGTGTGACAGTAGGTATATATGTTTCGGGTGCAGTCGCGCGAATGCGGCAGCAGCGATTGGTTAGCGCCCGTGGTGGGCGAGACGGCGGCGAGGCGCGTCGGGGGTGTCGCCGTGGGAATAAGCTGGGCACGGATCGGGTGAAGTCGAAAAGGCGCGGACGGCGACCTCCACCTCTTCCTCGTCGTCATCTACACCGTGCTCGCACGTTCGCGCCCGCCATGTCCCGCTTCCGCAACTCTTTCCTCAAGAACTGGTTCGCCGTTGAGGTGCGTTGCGCATATCTTGTTGCGTGGACGGCTGGACTGACCGTACCGTGTTCATTGACCTAGGCAATCCCTATGTGAGCTGTCGCCGTGTTTGAACCTATCCTGCCTTGGCCGCTCACCGTGCAAACGTAGCTACGCCGTCGTCGGTGTCGTCGTCGCGGGCGGTACCTGGTATCTCGCGCGCCTCGCGCGGGGCCCTACAGGTGCGTTCCCCGCGCCCCTCTCTTTCCGGACGGACGGGCCTCAACCAGTCGCCCGGCGGTGCAGTCGTCTGGACGAAGGAGAACCCGACTCCGTGGAACGACATCAAGCCGAACGAGGGCACGAAGATTCTGACCGTGAACCAGCACTTCGACAAGAGGTGCGTGCGCGAACCCCGCGGTGTTTCTTTCTGGCTCGTGTTCCGCAGGCTGACTGGCGCGTGCTGCAGCTGGGAGCGGAGGAAGATGTGAGGGGCTGGATGTCGATACACAGACCCGTCGTTGTACCCGCTCGCTTGTCCAATCCCATCCTGACTGCCTCTGCCGCCTCCCTGAGTCTCTGTAGTTCGAGCGCGAGCTGGTCCGTGACGCGTGACCGGGTGCGACCCGGATGACATCGATGATCCCGCGAGACGTCCTGTGGTTTGCAGCTTCGCCGGGACTCTCACAGTTATTCCACGACCTGCTCTAAACATGACCGTGCCACTCGGCTCTCCCCAACCTGTCTTTGCACTCCCTCCGCTGGATGCTATATCGGATGTCGAGGAAGACAAGCCGGTCGACGGTCTCCCGCTGGTACGCCACGATCAACTTCGAGTTCAAATTACAGTGATTGATATGGGAATAGAGCAAGATAGGCCCTATGGGCTTGCCCGAGATCGTCTTTGGCGCTGCGACGTTCTCGAACACCTACAACTCCGACTCGACTATTGCAAGCGACATACCAGTCCGCACGACCCGGCTCGCTCTTCGGTAAGCAACGGCTGCAGTGACTTGCAAAGTAGGGCTTATGATTACCCCATGAAGGTACGGCATCGATGCGTTCGACACTTCGCCGTATTACGGTCCGTCTGAAATCATTCTGGGCACGGCGCTCAAAGTCCTCGAGCTCGAGTTTCCTCGCTCGTCGTACAAGCTGGCAAGTCTATCTCGACAGAGCGTATTTGCAGGACGGTTATGACCTTGAAGTGCTAAGTTACCTACTCGGGCCGAATTGCGTGACTTGGCTTTGCCGTGGCGCAATATACCGTTCTCAGCGGGGCGGTCATCACCGAGTCATATGCACTATGGTTTACAACACCTGGGCCTATGTGGGTGCCAGAGGTTGTAGACTGTTGAAAAGATGTAAACATAGGACGCCTGCGGGTGGATGCACGAGGAGTTGAGCTTTCTGTCCGCAACAATACCTACGCAAGTTTGTACGAGGGAGAGGTGTACGGCATTTGTAGCATGCACCGTACTCCCCAGCACTGCATGAACCAGGCCGTGTTTGCTGCTAGGCATGTGGACACATGTCGTGAACGAGACAGCAAGCCAAGGCTCTACTGTGCATGTCGAAGGTTTCAAGTCCTGGGGCCTAACAGGCGTAGGATTTGTAGACTGTCTACCATAAACACCTGCAAATACGCTGATACATACGCCACCCCACCCATTAACTGACCGTTCCTTTCTACAGATGACCAAATGCGGCCGCTACGGGTCCACGCAGGCCGAGTTCGACTACACCCCGGCGACGATCCGCGCGAGCGTCAAGCGCAGCCTCGAGCGCTTACATACGACCTACCTCGACACCGTGTACCTGCACGACGTCGAGTTCGTGTGTACGCCTGTGGGTCCACGCTCAGGCCACCACGCCGCTGCGCTTGCGGACGCCGCAGCCGAGTACGGCCTCGCGCCCGGTCAGGGGGGCACGGTGTGGGGCGCCGGCGACCAGGCGATCCTCGATGCGGTAGCCGAGTTACGCAAGCTGCAGGCGGAGGGCGTCGTCAAGCACGTCGGCATAAGCGGTACGTACACATTACCAGCACGTTGGAGCGGACAGGACTGTCCCTGAGGAGTGTACCTCACCTCAGCCCCGCTCGCTCTCTATTCGGTGATTTGTGCACGACGCTGATGGGCATTTCGCGTCGCAGGTTACCCGCTCCCGACGCTGCTCCGGCTCGCGTTGCTCGTGCTGCATGCCACCGGCAAACCTCTTGACGTGCTCCTCTCGTACTCGCACTCGAACCTGCAGAACGCGACCGTCGCCGCGTTCGCGCCGCACTTCCGTGCGCGTGCTCAGATCCCGCAGCTCCTCACCGCGTCCCCGCTCAACATGGGCCTGCTCACCCCACGGTATCCCCCGTGGCACCCCGCCTCTCCCGAGCTGCGGGAGGCCGCAGCAAAGGCCCGGGAAGCGTGCGAGGAGGCGTTGTGGGACGGCGGGCTGCCGAATGTAGCGGTTGGGTACGGGTTCAGGAAGGGCGCAGAGGTGGAGGTGCCGGTCGTGGTCGGGCTGAGCAACCTCGCGGAGGTCCATGAGAGCGTGAGGGCGTGGAGGGGGGTCAAGGCTGGGACGGACGAGGCGAAGCGGGTCGCGCTTGAGCAGCGCGTGGTTGACATCTTCGGGGAGCACGCGGGATGGTCTTGGGCTTCTCCGTGAGTTGCGTACATCTGGTATTGGGTTTCTGGTCGTCATTTGGGCAATCGGCGCTGTTATCTGTGGCTCTATTTCTTGCTTGTACCCGTACGACAGGTAGCAGACAATATACATTGCATTCAGTGTTACGAACGAACCACCCAGGACTGTGACGGTGTAGTCCGCAAAGAATGCGGAAGCGGAGCTGCATGCCACGAGTAAACGTGCAGTGTTCCGCACATTTGCCAGGGCTCATCGTGTCTCAACCGTGCGTCGGCTATGTTCGCTAGAACAAACACGGTACGGACGACGAAAGCGAAAACGCTATTTGGACGGAGGAGGTCCTCCGAGATCCAGGTCCTAATAGCTACTTTCCTATACAAAAGTCGCGGAACACCGCATCCAAGATGTCCTCCACATCTATGAGACCCGAGATCTTGCCGATAGCCTGCGCGGCATACCGCAGCTCTTCCGCGGCAGGAACCACGTCTTCGGGGGCTGCACGAAGCGGTATCAGCACGCACACAACACAACGAGCCAGGACAGAGCCGACATACGCGTAGCTAGAAACGCATCCAAGAACCCCAGCGCGTTCTCGAGGTGTGTGCGGTGCCGTGCGTGCGTGATGAGCGGCTCTTCAACGCGTGCTCCGTCCTCGCCCAACAGGTTGAATCTAGTACACGCACGTTAAGATGATCCCGATGCGCCGCGCTGAGCAAATAACACGCGACCCGACCTTTGCTGCAGCATATTCGAAAGTCCCCGCATGAAAGTTATGCAGCCTGCGCCGGTACTGAGGCTAATTTGCCATGCATCCATTGGAATAGGTTGTGGGCTGTCTGCCGGGAGTAGGTCCGTCTTGTTCAGCAGGAGCAAACGGTTGTCCTGTTTGAGCAGGGGTTCCAGGGAGGGAGGCATTTGCAGCTCCCATCTGCCCTGCTGGGTTCGAACGAACACCTCATTTGCCGCTAACACGCAGAGCGCGATGTTGGCCGTTTCGACTCTGCAACGAACCTGTCAGCGAAGATTTGGTATGTGGCCTGGGGAATCCATCGTACGATTTTCGTGCGCGCTCGACGCCGATCTTCTCGACGACATCCTGCGTGTGCCGCAGACCGGCGGTATCGGCGACGATGACGGGCAGCCCGCCAATGTCCAGGGAGACCTCTAGGATGTCGCGCGTCGTCCCGGGCACGGGCGTGACGATCGCAGCCTCTCGTTGAGCTATTGCGTCGACACTCAATACAGTGACGATATATGGGTGGAGTTATGTAGCGGCGCACCTAAGAAGTTCAGCAAGCTGCTCTTCCCGGCGTTCGGAGGACCAAATATAGCGAGCCGTACCCCAGAGCGCATAATTTCGCCTCGACGGTTGTCAGATAGATGGTGCGCTATAGTCGCGCGAAGCTTCTGAACGCGTTCCCTCGCTAAGTTATCATAAAAAGTAAGTTGTCGTAAGCAGCCCCGTCGGGGATAGCAGACATCGGTCAAACCTTGGTCGTACACGCCCTCTTCGATGTCTTCGCCTTCCCCGAAGTCGATCAGGGCCTCGACGAGAGCCATACACTGGATGATCTCCTTCCTGAGATGCTCAAGGCGCGCCCGCGTAGCACCCTGGTCTGGTGTCAGTGCTGGAGTTCTTCCGCAATGATGACATCCACCGACCTCGGCATTTCTCAGCGCGAGCTTGCGCTGTGTTTCCGTTTCCGCGTCGATGAGGTCGCGTAGCCCCTCAACCTGGGTGAGGTCGAGTCGGCCGCCTTCGAACGCGCGTCGGGTGAACTCTCCACGCTCAGCAGGGCGGCAGAAGGGCAGGCACGCAATGGTACTGAGCACGGACGATATGATAGCGCGGCCGGAGTGTACATGCAGCTCAAGCACATCTTCCGTCGTGAATGACTTCGGACCTGAGGAGATTGAAAGCGGGTAAAGAGCCGCCATATAGGAGAGCTCATGCGCGTGCGTACCTTTGAAGAACACGGCAAGCCCGTCATCGAGCACTTCATGCGTTTGGGGATGGACGACATGACACCGGTGCATCTTCCATGGTTCCGGGTCGCGTTCACGCGCTTTCCCCTTGCCCTCGCGACGGATCTGCACCACTTGTCTCCACACCTCGAGGGCATCGGGCCCCGAGATCCTGACCACCGCGACGCCTGCCTTACCCGGCGGTGTAGAGAGCGCGTAGATCGTCCTGCGCTGCGCGTCGGACAGAAGCAGCTGCTCGGGGTCGCGTTCCGCACTCGGCGCGTCCCCTCGGCCGGAATACAGACCCGAGCGAGAAGACAAGGAGCGATAGAGCGGGCACGGGCCGAGGGCAGGAGGGAGGGGAGCTGTGTTTGCTGCGAGGCGGTGCTTCCTGAGGCTGCTCTTGGAGTTTCTGGAAAGCAGGCTTGATGTCGTGCCCCGCCGCGGTATATAGGCCTTCGCAGAGCAGGCGATGCGCGACCCCAGACCCGGAGCAACTCTGCCAGACATATCGTGCTGCACGCCCAGATGGCTGTCCTCGACGCCGCCCACGACGCGCTCGACCGGTGCCACAAGCTCAGGCGCCCTCCTTCAAGCGGTCCTCGGGCGCTTGCGCGGTTCCCACGGCGTCTTTGTGCTGCTTTCCGAGTCTGTTCTTGAAGTCTGTACGCGCTATCGTCCATCCCGCCCTCTCTTTGTTCTTCCCCTCTCCTCTGGATCTCGCCGACACGCCGCTTCCACCGAAAATACACCTAGAACGACACCACCGCACGACTGAGCCAAGATGGGACAATCACGTTCGCGCCTTTTGCTGTATTCGTGCTCTCCGAGATGTTGATTGGAATCCTACTTCGCGCGCGATGCAGCATCCCAATTCATGGAGGACATGCAAAAGCGGTCCAACTGTGAGTTCACGCAGTAACGAACATGCACAGAGGTCGAAAAATCTCACTATGTGGCCCTCGCACTCCAGTCAACGCAAGCGAGTTGGAGAGGCTGAAGAAACGATTCATGAAGCTCGACAGGCGAGTACTCGAGCCATCTTCTGTATCACACTTTGTGCTTACCCGCGCACCTTCGCGCTCACAGCGACGGCTCCGGATCGATCGACCGAGAAGAGTTCCTGCAGATACCCCAGATCGCGAACAATCCCCTCGCGTCACGACTAATAGCAATCTTCGACGAGGAGTACGTACTGGCTGCGTCCGTACGCGTCGTGTGCTTATAATACACCCATACGACAGTGGTGGAGGAACCGTCGACTTCCAGGAGTTCGTCGGTGGGCTGAGCGCGTTCAGCAGTCGAGGAGGACGGGAAGAGAAGCTGCGATGTGAGCTCACCCCGCTACCCCCGCATTCCCCTGGCGATCCGCCACTGACGCGCGTCCTGCTTGAAGTTGCATTTAAGGTGTACGACATGGACCGAGATGGGTTCATCTCGAACGGCGAGCTGTTCCTCGTGCTGAAGATGATGGTGGGCAACAACCTCAAGGACGGGCAGCTGCAGCAGATCGTCGACAAGACGATCATGGAGGCAGACAAGGACGGGGACGGGAAGCTCAGCTTCGAGGAGTTCGTCCAGATGGTCTCCAATACGGTACGTCTGCATTGAACTGTCCAAGACACCGCAGATACTCACCCGTCCCGCCCAGGATATTGTAAAACAAATGACACTCGAGGATCTGTTCTAATCCCTGCCGTCCATGGACGACGGCCTCCCACCCCCGCTCCTGTGTTATCTGCGCGCATCACGAACGCTCTCGCTGCTAGCCGTCCCCGAGCCCCCACGTCTCCCCGGATCACCATGCCCGTCACGACCAGTCGTACCTACGCACGCTCGCTTATATCTGAACCTGCGGTTCCACTGCATACCACCGAGTGTAATATCTGTCGCTGTATCCCCCTCGTATACTTAGGCCTAGGTTCTTCGCGCAATCATCTCATTCTTCTTGCATCGGCGGGCAGCAGACTCTACTTTTCTGATATGAACATAATATGGGAGGATGTATGCGGATTTAGTGCGCGGGTGATCGTACGAGCGAGTGCCCCTATGGGGGTTTCACAGTTCTTGGACACAAGAAGCAACGTCAAGCGCCTCCTGGATCTATTGTGATGCGGCGAATAATGACGACGTTTACATGAGAGAAAGGTCGCCGAACTTCTCCTTGTAACCTGCACAGCCAATGAACGAGTGAAGGAAAGCGGCCGGAAGCATGAACACATACCGGGCACGGTCCACTTGCCCTTCTTGATCATCGTCTCGACAGCCTCGACGATACGGGGGTGCGCCTTGCCGACCTCCTCGGACTGTACACACAACAAGTCACTCAGAATGAGCACGCAACGTGACGACAAAACGGAGACTTACCGTGAGGTCCTCGAAGGGACGAGCCTCCTCGATGTTCGCAAGCGTCGCCTGGAGGTCCTTGAGCTCCGCGTCGATTTTCTCCGTCGTCTCCTTCGCCTTCGCGACCTACAATCCCCGACACAACCCTATAAGCCCCTGCTCACCCCCAGCCGATGTAACACGCGCGACGTACCGCCTTGGACTCGAACGTCTCGATCGCCTTGATGTGCGCGCTCACGTCGTACGTGACAGGCTTGAACTCGCTGAGGAGCTTCTCCGCCTCGTCAACGACGGCCTTGTTGCGCAGCACCGCGCGGTAGTGCGCGAGGTCGACCGTCGTCGGCTGCGCGGCGAGCGAGGCGTGGATGCGCTGGGCGTCCCCGTGCCGCTTGCGGAACGCCTGGAGGGACGCGATGGTCTCTGCGCGCCGTGCATGCTGCGTCAGCACTCCACATTCCACATCCCAGTTCACTGTCTGCACGACTGACCCTTGCCGAGACCGAGCGAGGAGTAGATGCGGGCGAAGTCCTGCGGGTGCACGGGTGAGCGTCACCGGGCTCCTCCGACCGACAGGTGTGCGGTCATTTTTCTGCGGGACTTACCACCGTCGCGGCGACAGCTTTCGAGGCCATTTCAAGCTAGATTGGACGGTGAGTTCGAGGCACAGATAAGGGAGATGGGGGCGGGAGGCGGGGACGTACAGAAAATGAGTGGTGATTCGTGGAGGTCGTCACAGAGAGCCTGCGTCGTGCTGTCCGAACCCGACGCCGGAAACGGCCGATGCGTTTAGGCGCGCATACGGCCCGTCTCAGCGATCTACTCAACGTCGAGTCCGGACTGTCCGAGTCCGACTCAAGAGTCGGTACTCAGTACTACTCAAGCAGGTTCATTTTAGCAGAACTGCCAGCCAAGATGATGCCTCTTTCCATTACGGCCCGCTCGTAGGCGTCAACCGGTCTCATATCGCGAACAAGGAGGTGCGCAATTTAACCATCTTCGAGTGCTCGAGATGCACTGCTCAAGGTACTACGCTTCCAGGTCTGCGTTACACGCGCAGGTTCAACTGGGGCCTCGGACGGTGCACTCAGTGAGAGCATGCAGATTCCCCAAAGCGTTGTCGGACAGTGATACGGGTGTACATCGTCCTCGCAATAACCAGCCTGGAAAATCGAATCCTTCCGCACACATCGCCTTCGCAACCGTCACGCACGCCACACTCTACCGTCAAAAGTCCCGGGTGTTGGACGATTCGTGTTGGCGTTGTCACCGCGTATGCCTCGGGCTTCCAGGTTAAAGCGCTGCGCGCGCAGGAGTCCTGGCCAGCACCGTCGTGTTCGCATCAGTTGTCCATTAGTCCCGACATATCCCAGAATTTGCCACGCACCTTGGAGCTCGGACAGGTTTGCCTCGCGGGGCCCTGTCATTGTCTGGAGGGAGAGTGTACATTCCTCGCCGATGTTGTTCGAACAACGACTGGTTAAAGCACATACCGCCTGGAGTATATTTTTCGAGCTCATCAGTACTTTGGGTGATGAGCCGAATGTTGTGCCTAAGCCTCTGTAAGCGCTCTAACTTACTGAGCGAGCTTCCTAAATATCATGATAGATAGATGCACTCACGTTGGGAAGTGTCAATGTAAAGATCTCAGGGTTCAATTTCGTAGTCAGCTCACTTTACCAGCGTTGCGGGTCTTGAAAGATTTCATTTGTTTGCACGATGGGAAGACATCGCCTCGCACACATTAAAGAGCGCGCCAGTATCCTAGCGTATGTGTCGCACCTGATGCATGAGGAACAGCACCGAAATGTGTTTTTGTCAAGCTCGATGTATCACTGGTCATTGAGTCGATCGCTGATTGACCCCAACGTGCGGAGATGCGTTCAAGAGGGGTCACATTCTGCCAAACATTTCCGGAGCGGCACAGACTCGTAGTCCATGGCCATCCCTGGCAGGTGTCCAGTCGTAACAGGAACGAGCGCAGCAGCCCCCTGCTCCTCACGCACGCCAAACTCCGCCTTCACAAATACCCGGGGTAGGTCGGTGCACCGGGGCCTTGTGAACACGTACACCTCCGACATCGCGAACGAGGTGCTGCGGTCGCAGGGGTTCTTGGGGGTATCAGGTTATCGCTCGTACGAGCGTATGTACGAAACGAAGACGTACCGAGCGCTATATCCCGCGCACCGTAACAGGGCAGGCCATCTGCACCAGCAATCCCAGGCTGCCGCAGTCCCTCGGACGACGCATATCCGAACGAGCTGACGCTGCGCGGGCACGCGAGCTGCGCTAGCTTCGCAGCTCTGGTGAGGCGGCGATCGCGACGGAAAAGGAGGACGGCGGCGAGAACGGCCACGAACGCCGCGCCGCTGAGGCCCGCAGAGGCGAGGACCAATACCGGGCTCCAGGGCAGGGGTTCACTTGTGCTATCACCTGAATCAGTGGCCGAAGGGAGCGTAGCGGTTGCCGTTGGCGGTGTAAAAGTCGTGGTAGGCGAGGGTGATCCTGTAGGCGGCGCAGACTCGGAGGGTGGAGGTGAGGATTGACTCGGCATTAGCGCTATAGGGGGGCTCGCTATGGAACAGGAAGTCAGTGTGCTTTTCGTATATAATAACTGACAAGACCTCACTTGCTTGCGGAAGATCGACTGTGCCATCACTCTAGTATCGCTCATCCATGAGTCCAACTGACGGAAGGGGAATCGTTCTAAAGGACTCACCTTCAGTGGCTGGTATGCCCAAGAAGGAATGACGATGTTGTTGGGAATATCATTGGGTTCGGTATAATCCAGGAATCTACGCAGGAAATGAGAATGTTGATGTGGGACTTAGAGGGACGAGTGATGACATACCCATTTGTGGGTTTGTTTGTGCACTGTAGCACTCCAGAGTAGTCCCCCCATCTGTACAGGCAGCATTAAAATGAGTGCAGTTCTACATTATCAAGTCAAGGCATCCTACGATGATCCCCAGGTCTGCATCGTCGTACACCGCTCGCACACATAGACCAGGGAAAAGAACACTGTGTTGCATAAACATGGGTTGTTGTAGAGCTCGTTTAAGGGCGGTACTTCCCCCGGAGTGATCGAGGTCGGACCTTTATTGAATGGCTTAGCATTGTTTGAAACCGATGTTTCCGAGACCATGACGAACTGAAACATGGACCGGGTAGGAGGTCCCATGCTACCTGACATGGATCCTGTCCCTTTGTGTTGCGTAGCTGTGGGCAATGGTGAGTTGGAATAGCGCATATACACAAACACTTACTGTCTGAATGTCAAGTGTGGACCCCGAGCAACTTGTAGGGAAGGGGAACTTCGCGTTGGGGTCAAGTTGGGTAGGGTTGAATGGAGTTGGACTGGACCCCGAACGCGCGGATGAAATCAGGGAAGAAGCTCCGGATAGTCCGACCATCCTCGACGTCGAGTAAACAAAAAGTACGAAGAGCAGAACAAAACCTCGCTGAGCGTAGAAAGCGAAAGAGGACGCAATGCGCACTCGGGCATTATATAAGCTTTCTCCCGCCCAGAGCGTCCTTCCTGCAAGCACAAGGGATTGACCTGCTACTGTAAGCACCGCTACGGGGAATCAAACTCTGCGCTTGTAGACAGTGCGGCCACCGCTCGATATCGTGCATATGTTACTGTCAAAAGCAAACTCTATGAGCGTCCCAATGGCAGATGCGAGTTGTGATTACGTTGGAATCACCCATAACAAGGCATCTGAATGCACCCGCTTCGCCAACCCGATGTGCCAGTGTGGTTCCTCGAGATATGATGCGGGCCAGTCCAATGAGGATTCGGCCTCCGCCTCGCGCGAACTCAAAATTGTACGGACCTCCGGCATCTATGCGATGCGAATGCTTGGAAGACACATACGTGAACTTCGGGATCAAGCAACTGTATCAGGTTGCTAGGGCTCTCGAAAGCATCGTAGATGGTGGTTCGGGTGGGCCCTGCCAGCTGTCATTGCGTCGCACATGCTTCCTCTCCGACAAGGCTTATATCATTCCTCAGGTCGCAATTGTTACACGAGACAAAAAGTACCAGCCCAGTAACAGCAAATATGTGTAGTCCCATATTGCAAGATACAAGTCGAGAGAACGCACATTCGCAGAACGCGCAAGCCAACCGTGCTCTCCCTGGCCCCAGCAAGCTCAGATCAGGAGAAGCCAATCTGCTCTACTGCACAGCGGCGTTGGATGGGAGCAAGCTTCCGATGTGCTGTCATGCGAACCCATTGAGCACCGGGAGGAATGGGGGTCGTATACCTAGAGACCAATTCGAAATATGAGAAAGGCGATAGCACATCCGGAGGAGGCGAGAAAAACACACGAAGTTACATCGGAAGGGGAACATTCTAACGTCCTGGAATACTGGGGCCATCTGCCAATATAGTATCAGAGATTGGGCGGTTGCAGGTAGGAAAACCGTATTGCACAGACAGACGTTGTTGAGCATCCCGACCAGGTCTGGCGGGTTCTCGGGGTCGATAGTAGAGCCTATGGCGTAATTAGAGGTTTAGTATTGCTGATAAAGCTAATGTCTTCGAGCCCGGGACGAACCGAAACATGCAGGTAAAAGGGCCCATGCGACCTGACACGGATCCTGCTCTTGACTGTTGTCCATCTGCAAGCGATTGTGAGACAGGGCGGGGCATATGAACATCACACCTACTGCGTTATAGTCAGACACCGAGCAGCTTTGAGGCATTGAAAATTTGGCATTGGCGAACCGACGAAGCACGTCTACGCCATGGTTGGCCGTTGAGCGAAGACGATGTTAGAAAGAGCGGACAAGAACCTGGCAGGTGTAAATGAATGAGGCGTCCTGTCGTTATATCACCCGTTGCTCGGCGCAAGTTACGACCGGCACAGGATGCCACCACCAAAATCCCACCGTCGAATATCCGTGTATCACTCACAACAAGCAAAGCAAATCCCGCTATGAGCACTGCTGTGCAGATTTAGGCTTTGAACTGGTCGGCACTTCGGCCACCGATTGATATCATGTCTACGCTACTGTCAGAAACCAACTCGGTGAACGTGCTAATGGCAGATACGAGTTGAACTTACGTTTGGATCAGCCAGGACGAGATGCACCAGCGTCAACCAGGTCTGCATATGACCTTGGGTCCTAGAGGAAAGTGTCAGTCCAAAGACAATCAATGTTAATCGTTTTTTGCAGGATAAAAGTATGGAGCCCGTACACTCGTGGATATGGGCCAGCCTACTAAGCTCGGACAGCCTCGGAGACCGGGAGCGGTCGCACCGCACCCTCGCGTAGCGGCGCCAGTTGTGAAAGAGCTTAAGTGGTCCTCACTGACGGTATGCGAAGCCATCGAGGATGCAGATGCGAGCCGCATGGCGCTGTCCACGCGAGAAGTTGGCAGTCAAGCGATGAGATGCGAAAGCTGCGGAAATCCAGGTGGCCAAGTGTGAGTTTGAGCGCGGGCGAAGTTGGCACGCCACTTCCAGTCGTCGTGTACTTCGAATTGCTCCTCGAAGCTATGATCAGGGAGGGTTATTTTAATTCTTCCGGCCTTGTCAACGTTGCCAGATAACCGTTCCGTCGTAATGCTAAGCATCCCATTGTCGGACAGTGATCCATGTGGTCGTTTGGGACGGTGATCCTCAACTCTTTAGGCGAGGATCTTACAGGCTGAAAGCACCTGGTCCCTTGTGGTGACGAGGAAGACTTCCCCTTCGCACGTCCGACCGTAGTCTGGCAAACCGTACAGTAGTAGTGCACGCGTCATCGCGTACTAAGACGCCCAATTAGTATACCATTCAGCACTGAAGACGAACTCCAGACTCACCAGACGAGCAAGACCCCGCGCTAGCAGGCGCCCTTTAAGGGTTGGAACGCTGCACTCTAGCCTGCGCAGGTATGAGCTTAGACATCGGGGTTCATGAAGGTGGCCGTAAACAAACGAGGAGGGGAAACAGACGGCTAACGCTGCGCTCGGTGACCTCGGTCCGCGCGCGACGCGGACAGCGCCGGCGCTTAACTAGGTGATCGAATAGGGGCCCGTCGAGCTTGCACAGGCTTGCACACCAGGCATTAGAGTACTGACAGCGACTTAGCGGATGTGCCCATTTCTTCAAAGCCATATCGTAAATTGATCCGTTTCTGCGAGAGAATCATACAATGTTGTGGTAAGTACGGTGGCACTATGTACGATCGAAAGAAGCGCCCGATCACCGCTCTAACTCCTCACTGAACTGAACATACCAGCGGGTCCTTGTGTGCGATTGTATTCGGCACCGGCATATAAGGTACATTGCACACTGAGCCAGTTGCGGTCGAATAGGTAGACCGGGTCCGCTGCAAAAGTAACACATGCGCCTGCTTTGGAAACAATCTCGACCGCTCCCGACTTCGGGCGTTGAGTAGAGGCGATGTACCTTCCGGCTGACTGTACGGACCATACACCTGTTTACACGTCGTCCAGAGCGCTCCCCGGTCTGCTCGTGCTTATGGAAGGCCGGCTAGGCGAGATGGAAGTGGACAGAGGGCGGGGGAGGGGGCGATTCACAGGTGGTATCGTCTCGAAAAGGCAATGGGTGCGATCGAAGGGCGGGGCACGTGGGACGGACACTATGTCATAAGGCTGGATGGGCGAGAGAGCGCAGACAACTTTCTCGGCGTCCGCATCCAACCTCTGCCTCCTCCCATCCCCCGCCCATCTCCTGCGCATCCCGCCGCCATGGCCCCGACGTCTGCGCTCTACGGCTCGTCGCCAGACGTGTCCCGCCGCATCCTCGACGACATCGAGCAACAGTTCTGCCTCGACAAGGATGATCTCATCCGCATCACCTCCCAGTTCCTCGAGGACTTCAAGCTCGGTCTGGGAGAGTACAACCACCCGATGGCCATGATGTGCGTCCGCTCGATCTCTCAATATATGTCTCCCCTCTGACCCTCGCGTGCTCCGCAGTCCGACCTTCGTTACCGGCGTGCCAGACGGAACGGAAACTGGGTGAGTCTCCATGCGTCGCACTCGTGCGTCCCAGGTGTCTGCCTGCTATCTCGGCCGCTGTCCTCGTATCCATCCGCACCGAGCATCCCTGCTGCGAAGCGACGTCGGTCTGCCATATCCATGCACTCCGGAGTGGGTCCGGTATCGTCGTGCCCGGTATGGAAGCCCGATGGGCTTCGACGCATCTTACGACCGAGATTATGCGCGTTTCGGCATAACCAGCGATCGATTGGCCGTGTCTGTGGTCGCTGCTCATCAGGATCACCTCCCGAGCACATGTCGCGGAGGTCGCTGCCGCTCCCATCCGCAGAGAATCCCGACCGCGCACTGCGCGATGCGCGTTCCTGATGTTCGCGTATTTCTTCGCCGATCGTGTGATGTCACAGGACCGCGAGGCGAGTTGCTACGGCGAGAAGCAGGCACGACGTCATTGCAACCGAGCGACCGGAATTGGCTTCTGTGTTCAATCGTCCTCTGGGAAATACGCTTTTGGAAAATGCACTGACGCCCTGTCCTCAGCACTTTTCTCGCGCTCGATCTTGGTGGAACCAACCTGTGAGTGCCATCACTTCGGCACATCTACGTCCTCTGATTTCCGGCCAGTCGTGTGTGCGAAGTCGAACTACTAGGCAACCAGGAGTTCGTCCTTCGGCAGCAGAAATACAAGGTGTCAGAGGCTCTCAAGACAGGGGAAGCCACCACACTCTTCGGTCGGTGCATTCATACAGTCATTACCCGGCGTAACTCATTTGCTGCTCTGTAGATTACCTTGCCGACTCTGTAGACGCTTTCCTGACCGAGTTCGCCTCCGCCGTCCCTGCGAGCCCTACCACCGAGCAGGCCAACCCTTTCGCATCTCCCTCCCTCAACGACCTTCCAGAACCCGCAGTACCCCTTGGCCTTACCTTCAGTTTCCCTGTCGAGCAAACCGCTCTCAACCGAGGGAAAGTCCTCACATGGACGAAGGGCTTTGCCGCAAAGAATGCCATCGGAAACGACGTCGTGCAATTGCTGCAGGACGCCTTCGACCGGAAACATTTGCATGTAAGGTGTGTTGCGCTAGTGAACGATGTAAGTCGTCTCTACTAGATTGTCCCCGACCGCGTGCTGATAGACATGCAGACTGTCGGAGCTCTCCTGTCGCGTGCATACACGAGCGGTGGTTGCATCCTCGGTAAGTAAACCCATAGGCGTATTCGCCCCCTCGACTTATCACTAAACGGCGTATCTCACATATTTATAGGCAGTATATTCGGTACCGGAACGAACGGCGCATTCGTTGAACGTGTCGAGAACATCCGGAAGTTGGGTGACTCACCAGCACGACAGAAGGGTGGCTTCATGGTGGTAAACACCGAGTGGGGTGCATTCAACAACACCGTATGTATGATTATGAGAGTGCTTTCATATGACCGGAAAGTTGATCCATATTTCTGCAGCGGACAGTGCTGCCCACCACACCGTACGACAACAAGGTCGACCGTGAATCGATCAACCCAAGACTGCAAGCCTTCGAGAAGTTCATCTCCGGAATGTACCTCGGAGAGATCACCCGCAACGTCCTCCTTTCCCTCATCGACGCGGCACCAAAGCCACTGCTATTCAACGGCCGGTCAAGCAAGCAGCTCAACACACACTACGGCCTCGACACCGCGGTCATGTCCGAGGTCGAGGAGGCCTGGGAGATCGGCCGCGTGCCCATCGTCCCCATCAACCACGATACCCCAGAGGAGAAGGCCGCTCCCAACGGCGTCGTTGCATCAGCTGTCGAGGCCTCGTCCGACGTACCGAACTGGCAATCCGCGCACTTCACGGACGTCGACGCGCTCTCGTCAGAAGACATTTCGCGTCTAGAACGTATCCGCAGCGTCATCATCCAACGACTCGATATCGATGCGGAGAACGTCTCCCTGCGCGATGCGGCCATCGTCCGCTGGGCTTCGTCGCTCGTCGCTAACCGTGCAGCCAAGCTGAGTGGCTGTGCGGTGGCTGCGGTGCTCGTGCAGACTGAGCGTGCGAAGCTCGGTGGTGGTTTCGCGACGGACGAGCCCAGGATCTCTATCGGTGTTGACGGCAGGTGAGTTATACGACGGTATATATCGGGGATATTGGATGCTGATGGTTGCGATTCAGTCTCATCCAACATTACCCTAACTTCAACGCGCGTCTGCGCGAGTCGCTACGGGAGCTCGTCGGGGTGGAGGTCGAGAAGAAGGTCGACATCGGCCTCGCGAAGGACGGTAGTGGTGTCGGAGGTACTCTTGCTCTACTCTCCCCTTCTATCCCCCCTCACTCACTTCGCTCCCCAATGTACAGCTGCCCTGTGTGCGCTCCAGGCGACGAAGCAAGGCCACTAGACGAGCGCCTCGCCCAAACAAGGGGGACGAGGAAAAGAAGACGATATCGCACGTGTATCTTAGGTATACTATCCCATACTGTTGTTGTTGTTTCTCTCTCTGCGCGCGCGTTGTATATGTGTGTGCCGTACCTGGCTGTAGCGATTGCTCGCGCGCGCGGCTGCCGGGCGCCGCATGTGCACCGCGGCTGTTGTCATATCACATGGACTATTGACGTATATCTCGTGTCGTACATAGAGGCTTGCTAGAAAACATCTCGTGGTTACCCCGCGCTGCTCGTGTGTTCCGACTGCCTGCGTTTGCAAAGGCAACGTTCAACGGTCATAATTTTGAACGCCTCAAGCGAATCTCCCACAAAAGTGGCCAAGCATCCGCAATGCAAATTAATCACGACGAGACGATACATCCGATACATCCGAAATATATACAGCAAGTGTAGGCCGGTGGTGCCCCGCTCATCTGCAGCGGCGCACCACCCCGTAGATCCAGGAGATAGGGCGGGGCGTGATGGTACATATTACTTATACCTAGTGGGTGGGTGGTGCGGCAGTGGGAGAGCAACTATGGACAACGAACGGATCCGGACACGAGAGCACGTACAGAACACCAAAAACAGCTACAAGCACGGGGGAAGGGGAACAAGGGGGGCAGGGGGTCGAAACGGGTAGGGTACGGAAACAGAAAAGGGGGCGGACCGGCCATACTTATAGCAAGTGTCGATAGGTGCCGGGGGAGCTCCCTGACTCGGAGTGGGCTCCCCCTCCGTCCAAAATATCACCTCCTCCAGCCGCGGAGCGCTCGCGCATCCGCCGACACGCGGGGCGACCGCTCAGTGCGTCGGGCCCGGCACCATCGTCGCCGCGAAGCTGTCCGGGCGCTGCATGACGTCCACGAACGAGTTCCACTCCGAGAGCGCGAACCCGATCGACGCGCCCCACATCGAGCTCTCGTCCGCGGGGTGCACGTACGCGAGCTCGTGCCCGGGCGGCACGTGCCCCTGCCCGGGCCCCGCGCCCCCGGCGTCGCGGAACATCTGCGCGTGGTGTTGCTGTTGTTGCTGCATGCCGTCCAACTGTGGGTGCTGCGCCTGTGTGGGGTAGCGCGGGACGGGGAAGGACTGGCCGGGGGCGAGGGAGGCGTTCGTGGGTGAGTATTGGTGCGTGTGGGTGCCGCCGTGGTGTTGTTGCGATTGTGACGCGGGGAGAGCGCTGATGGAGGCGCGGTGTGAGTAGACGGGCTGGTGTTGGGACTGGTGAGCGGGATAATGCTGTGGGGCTGCCACGGAGAGGTCGGCCTGGGACTGGGGCTGGGGTTGGGATTGTGGCTGGGACGTCCAGCGCGTAGCGGAGATGGGTGCTTGGGTGGTAGCAGGCATCTCGTGCCCATGGAGGATGGGCTGGTGGTGGTGCGGTTGATGCTGGTGCGGGTGCATGACATCGGTGTGTGCTTGTGTGTGGTTCTGGTACACCGCATGAGCCGCCTGGGAAGCGGCGCCCGCACCGCTGCCCCGGCCTGGCTGGTAGAGGTTGTAGCCTGGGGAGTCCACAGAGCGCGAGTACGGCGCGTCCTGGTACGGGAACGCGAGCGTGCGCACGAGGCTGAGTACCTGCGCCTTCTTGTGCTCGCGCTCGTCCCGAGCAAGCTCGAGTAGCTCATCCGAGTACAGCGGCGCGAGCGCCTGCAGGATCGTGAGCGCCTTGTCCGCGACGGGCATCCAGCGGCTCTGCTCCAGCGACGCAAGACTCTTGCGGATATTCTCGCGGAAAAGACTCGCCGCGGGCTGGTCCGGCTTCGTGATCAGCTGGAACGAGAAGAACATCGCGGCGGAGAACACGTGGAACGGGCCCCAGTTCATGTGCCCGGGCACCGCGAGCGCCGAGTTCGAGAGGAAGTCCGGGCGCGTCTGCCCGACGAGCGCGATCAGCTGCGACGCCGCGCTCACCGCGGTGTCGAGGCTGTCGGGCACCTTCGCGTACGGCCGGTGCAACGTGAAGCGGATGTGGTGGTACGCGGTGCGGATGATGACGCTCTGCACGCCGACGCGGCGCACCGCCGTGATTGGGCTTGCGAGGCTGCGTGCGATGCGGAACTCGTCCAGGTCGAGCTCGTGCGGGAGCGACTCGTACCAGTCGGTGAGCACCTTGTCCTTTTCCTGCACCGACGAATACGGCACTGTGCGGAAGGAGACGGCGTCGTCCATGATGTCACCAAGGATGTACGCAAGGCGGAACAACGCGATGTTCGGCAGATATAATCGACCGCTCTTGTCGATGGCAGGGTCGCAGTACGACGGGAGCTGCGTGTTGAAGTGGTGGGATGCGATTGCGAGAGGACGACCGAACATGAACGCCTGCCAGCGCTCGAGAAGGATGATGTGCCACCACGCCCACCGCCGCCGCTCGGCCACGGTCTTTTCGAATCGTGTTGATCCAGGGTCGCGGTGCAGGCCCATGGCCGTCCCGATGGTCACGAGCTCCCCGCGTACGCTCCATGTCTCCTCGGGATCCTCCTTAGCGAACGTGAGGTAGTGACAGCGCACCAATAGCAGCTCGACGAGCTCGAGCGAGTAGGACCGCCCGGGACTTGCTGCGTCGGCGCGGTATCGCTGTAGCGTATCCCGCATGATCCCGTAGCACTTGTTTCCAAGCTCCTCAGGGCTATCGGTCACGCCCTGCATGAGGCCATGACGCGGCGGAAGGTAGCGAGCAGCGAGCGCAATGAGGATGCACGTCGTGGCGAGCACTATGCGGTCCCCGTGCTTCCCGCTCTTGTAGCGGTCCCAGGCCATGAGCAGCCATGGCTCGTTAACGTGCCGGTATATCCAGTTGCAGTACTCGAAGTAGTACTGGATGAGCCCATCGATAATGGGCACCGGCGGGAGTGCGGCGATGAGGTCGTTGTCCCAGACGCCGGTAGCAGTGGACCCGGACCCCGCGTGCAGAATGTCTCCACCACCGTCGACTGAAGCCCGGGAGGGCGGCGGCGGGGACGCAGGGGAGGACGGTCTGTCGGTGTGGTCCGAATCATCACGGTCCGATACCTGTTGTCACGCGGAAACATTCAGTGAGATGCCCTCGGATATGGAAGGGAGCTTACGGAGATGAGATGCGAGGCCGCGCTGGTGGGCCCTGCATATAGACCGCCAGACGCCTGGCGCCCAAGCATGCCGGGTGTACTGGTCATATCCACATCCTCGGTCTTCTCCTTGACTGGAGGTGTTCCGTCGATGTCGGGACTCTGCCTATCATACAAGCTGTGCGGTGAATGCAGCGATGAACGCCGGAGCGGTTCGGGGACATATCCATGAAGCGCGGGCCGCGGTACAGGCTGTTGATACACATGCGACTCGAGAAGGGCTAGAGACTGTCGGATGCGCGAGAACTCGACCGCAGGGTCTAGAGGCGCACGCCTGGTTCGGGTAGGAAGCGTCGATTAGGTTGATTTGCGGACGATGATGACCGGGACTCACTGAGGATCAACCGCTCCGCGAAATCCGGGGTCGGAGGCATCTTGGCCTTGATAGCAGAGCGCAGTCGTACCTGCCAGGAACGGGGGCAGATGTTTGCGAGGAGGTTTGGGTGAAGGTTGAAGGGAGAGACGCACCTCTGAGCACGCAAGAGGAGCATGGTCGATTTCTGGAAAGCCGAGGACCGCGAGGAGATGAAGTGAGCCAAGCGGATTTCCGAGGAGAGAGGGCCCGCCTGGGCGAGCCCGCAGCGGGAAGGCGCGGCGAAGAGGCGCAGAGTGGGCGCAAGAATGCGAGAAGACTCACCTATCGCACTTGAGTTTGCTGTTCCTGCACGGCTCGCAGTTTATCGCCTTGCGCGCCCTTTTTGGTGGTGGGCGCGCATCCGCGGACGAACTTTCGTTGCCTTCGTTTGCACCGCTCCCGCTAGGAGACCGCACACGAACTTGCTTCGTCCTCGCTGCCGGCGCAGAAGCGGGTGCCGGGCCCGCGGGCAGGTGCCCATTGGTATTTCCGGATTGCGTAGCAGGCATCGCACGACCGGCCACGGCGGCAAGCGACTTCCGGATGGTGGTGCTTGATTGTCAAATGCTGAGCGAGGACACTGGCGGTGAGGGGGAGAAGACGGGCGAGGGATTTGGAGGGGCACGGATTGTTAGCGACGACGACGGGGAGCGAGACAGACACGGCAATCGTCGGCGAGCCAGCCTAAGAGAGCGTCTGAGCATGCAGGCGCCTCACCTCCATCGGGCAAGCCGTTTCCCCTTACCTGACATCTGCAAGCCACTGTCACTCTCCCGCATGCCCCGCCCACCAACGGCGCACATCATTGGCCATCCGTCTCCATACTCGAATCCCTACCGCCGCCGACTCTCCACTGTGGCCGTCGTGTTCGAGTTCAGCCCAGACAGCCTTTAGCAGCGGTGCTTCCGGATTTGGTAAGGCCCCAGTCAGCCTTCGTATTGTCCGAATTTGAATATGGATCGGAGACGGGATGCCATCAGGCGCGGAAGAGGGAATGTCTGGCAAGGGGTGTGGTCGCAGAAACGCAAGCGTAGTGCTTCGGAGGGATGCTGTCGCGGTGGTGATGAGCAAGGGATGTCGTCCTCGGAGTTGCGGGGAAAGTAAGATCGACAAGGGAAAACGGTTATCAGGACTGGGCATGGGCCTCGATCTCCCCGCAAATCATAACAAATCGTTGATCGGGATGCGTGCCACCTTCATTATGAGTTGCCGGCGGCGATCTCATTCCAGTCCTCCTCCTCCCCGACTCTGTGCACTCAGCTCGTCTTGGCAGATCGGCGCACTCACCATGACGCTCCTGGTCCGTGTCATCGTAGTACGGAGCTTCCGTCCTAGCCGGCAACAGATATTCTCGGAACTCGGACATGATGATCTCCATGTTGCGCAGTAAAGCCACGGTCTGATATATGATGGCCTCGGAGGTATACCCTATTATGATCAGCGTACTCCACACTTCGCGGTGTTACTCACCCCTGGTAAGCCTTGGTAAGCACCATGACAACGTTCCTAATGTTCTTCGCGCATTCCGTGCCTCAACTGGGCTTCTCTGGTGACCTTGTGAACGCAATCTCTGGATCTTCTACATTCCCCGAAACAAATCCCTAAAGGGGAAGGTAGAAAGGGAGGAATCCTCGGTGAGTGATTCCCTTAATATGTTCGGACTTACGTATGACAAGCATTTCTGTCTTTGACACTGGGCAAAGTCGTATGATAGCACGACCATTCGTCCACCATAACACTACGAGGATTGACCGGTGCGATACTCGCTGATACCGATCGTGAGGCGTGAGCACGGGATTTCGGATATAAGCTTGCGTCAGAAGGGATGCATGTAAGCTATCAGTCCTTCCGTATACTCCTAGAGACAATTAGTTGTGAAGAGATGTCCATTCCAGAATCTAGCGGTGAAGAAAGACTGTACTTACAAAATACCGCTCGAATTTCTAAACGCACATTCAGGCCTGGCACGTCACCACGATGCCGGCCTGGCAAATAATAGCTGAGAGCGCTACGATGTAACAAGCAAGTCTGAGAGTCTGTACAGCGCATATATCCACTCGCAGTCGGCGATCTCAGGCGAGACTCACCTTGGCCTGCTAGCGCACTTTCCCGTTCACGAGTGGTTAACTCGTCCGTCTCGCCGAACTCGACACCAGCTGGCCCTTGGGTTGCAACCAAGTGACTCGCAGAGCAGTTGGCATGATGGCGGTTTGAGTCAAACCGTGAACGGCAGCTATATCTGTGCTCGAGATAGCAAGCTTGCCTACCCGAGTGTTCTTATAGTACAACGTCATATGTCCCGGTATGGTATGTCTCCTTCCGCATTGGGAATCTATCTCGGGCGTATGGTATCGTTCAACTAATCCGGTAGCTGTTTCAACCACGCAGTCTCGCGGCTCTTCGAATGTTCTGTATATTATGCGTCTGCTTTTACCTGCCTTGCAAGAATGAAAGTCTGAGACATTCAACGCGAGAGAACTTAAACTCATAAGGCGTACATGACTGAACCGCACTCAGACTGACCTGGTCAGCCACGAAAGACAGTGTGCAATGTCCCGATGTCTCATCAAGGGTTCGTGTAGCGTGGAACAAGCTCATAGTATATGTACGCTTCTCAGTCTGTCAGTAACATACATACTCAGCCTCCTCGTGAAAAGGATGAAGCTGAAGACTGGATAGACGCCAGAAGTACGTCCGGATTTGGCCAGGTCGAGAGCTGAAGATTCTCGAAGGTTCGTCCAGGTTCGTGCAGCTCGTGCGTCCGCTCAACGATCATAAAAGCCCTCCGACCGACGCCGAATCGCCGCATCCGCGCACCTCTGTACTCTGCTTGTACCACTAACTCACCATCATCTATGGCCGACGCGCTCAAGGAAGCGGGGAACAAGGCCTTCCAGGCGAAAGACTACGACAAGGCTATCGAACTGTTCTCGCAGGCCCTCGAAATCGACCCTACCAACTTCGTGCTCTGGTCTAACCGCAGCGCTGCAAAGGCCGGCAAGCGCGAGTGGTCCGCCGCACTCGAGGATGCGGAGCAGGTGCGTGATCGCGATCGCCTGATGCTGCAGGAGAAGGAGAGACTTACGCCCGCGGCAGTGTGTTAAAGTGAACCCCACATGGCCGAAGGGCTACGCGAGGAAAGGCGCTGCACTACACGGCCAGAGGAGATACGACGAGGCAATCGAAGCGTACGAGGCGGGCTTGAAGATCGAGGACAGCCCGGCTCTGCGCAAGGGACTGAAGGAGGTCGTAGACGCAAAACGTGAGCATCTCTGATCCCGCCACCTCCCTACGCCGCCGACAAATTACTGATCCGGGCCTATACGCAACCAGAGGCGGACGAGCGCGGCGACGGCGCAGAGGGCTTCAGCCTCGGCAAGCTCTTCGGCAGCCCCGATGTCTTTAGCAAGATCGCTGCGAACCCGCGCACGGCAAAGCACCTCGCGGACCCCGCGTTCGTGCAGAAGCTGCAGGCGTTCCAGCAGAACCCGAAGCTCGCGGAGACGGCGCTGCAGGGCGACCCGCGCATGATCGATGTGCTCGGTGCGCTCATGGGGCTCGACATGCAGGGCTTCGCGCGTGAGGAAGGCTCGGATGAACTGCCGCCGGGCGTGCAGCAGCAGGCGGAGCGATCGTCGCCGTTTGCTTCGGCAAGCTCGTCATCACCGCCGCCACAGCCCAAGAAGCAGGAGGCGCCGCCGCCGCCGCCGAAGGAGGAGGACGTCGAGATGGCGGAGCCAGATGAGGACGCGGAGGCAAAGAAGGAGGCGGAAGAGGAGAAGAAGAAGGGTGCAGCGGCGTACAAGGCGCGCGACCTCGACACCGCCATCGTGCACTTCCAGAAGGCGTGGGATGTGTACCCGAAGGATATCACATTCCTGACCAACCTTGCCGGTGAGTTCATGCGTGCCCCTGCTTCACGGGCTGTCTGCTCACGCCACGACTCCAGCGGCGTACTTTGAGAAGGGCGACTTTGACAAATGCATAGAGACGTGTGAGAAGGCCGTGGAGGACGGTCGTGAGGTAAGCACGCGTGCGTCCGGAACAAATATCTGCATTCTGACATAACTCTCGCCCAGATCCACGCGGACTACAAGCTCATCGCGAAGGCGTACGGCCGCATCGGGTCCGCCCATCAGCGCAAGGGCGACCTGGCCACCGCGGTCAAGTTCTTCCAAAAGTCGCTCACCGAGCACCGCACGCCCGACATCCTTAACAAACTCCGCGCGGCCGAGCGCGAGCAGGCCGAGCAAGCACGGCTCGCGTACATCGACCCGGAGAAGGCGTCCGTCGCGCGCGAGGAGGGCAACGCGCTGTTCAAGAAGGGCGACTTCGCGGGCGCGGTCAAGGCGTACACGGAGGCGATCAAGCGCGACCCGCAGGACCCGCGCGGGTACAACAACCGCGCAAATGCGTACACGAAGCTCGCGGCGCTGCCCGAGGCGCTCAAGGACGCGGACGAGGCGATCAAGGTCGACCCGAAGTTCGTGAAGGCGTACATCCGCAAGAGCCACGTGCTGTACACGATGCGCGACTATCTGAAGGCGATTGAGGTCGTCGAGCAGGCGGCGGACATCGACGAGGAGAAGAAGCACACGCGCGAGATTGGGGACATGGTTGCGAAGTGCCAGCAGGCTCTCATGAGCCAGCGCCAGGGCGAGACGGAGGAGGAGACGCTCCAGCGGGCGATGCGCGACCCCGAGATCGCGGTATGTGCCGTCTGTTCTGTGTTATGCTGTTGGGGCGGAAGGACTGATATTTTGCTTGCAGAGAATCATGAACGACCCGATCATGCAGTCGATCCTGCAACAAGCACAGGCGAGTCCCGCCGCGCTGCAGGACCATATGAAGAACCCGGCTGTGCGGCAGAATATCATGAAGCTCATCAACGCGGGCATTATCAAGACGGGGCGGTAGTCAGCTTGGTTCGGTGGTTCTCTTGCTTTTCGCGCTCGGACTGCTTTGTGTGGAAGTCATCAATCCCGTTGTATCTATACTCATCGCTCTGGGCACGTGTAATACAGGTCTCTTTTGCTCACCACTACTTGGGTGCCATTCTTACCGCAAGTACCTTTGGGTGCACAACCTTCCTATATATGGGATCAGTCAGAATGAATAATCGCGCTTCTCGCATCCGGTGAGTGCCACAGTTCCGTCGCTGCTCTCCCCACAGGCAATAAGTCCGCAGGACCACCCTCAAGCTCAGGGTTCGGTTTGTCTTTGATGATAACGGTGCGAACAACGACTGGGATGAACCGCCGTCGTCTCCCAACAGGTGATCATGACATAGATAGTCTGAACCTCACGCCTGTCAAAGCGTCCAGTTCTTTGCACATTCGCACCCCTTTCATTTACAGCGACGGTGCGACACACGAGCCCCCCTCAGCCGGCCTCGCACACCCCTGAGGACATGGCGCGCTGGGGTCAAACTGCCACGAGAATAGTGGGTCCGTCTCCGTCTCCAAGACCCCTCCCAACATCCGCACGGAATTTGGCAGGTCGGCCGACTCGCGGATAATGTCGGTGGACGGGATGCGAATTTGGCCCCAGCCTTGCTCGATGAGCGTCGCGATGCTCGTTCCATAGACGTATTCGCGGAAGCCTGCCCACCGAATCGCGGAGGCGCACTGCGGAAGCCGGCCAGTGAGTAAGGATCATACAGAGTCACGGTGAACGGTAAACGGGTATGTTCGTACCATGGGACAGCTCTCAGCGTTGGTATAGAGAGTCAGGTCGGCGAAGGCAGCTATCGCTTGTGTACCCGTGAGGTTATACGGGCCCATGGGGTCCGTCAAAATCGCGGTGCAATTCTGGATAGCGGCGATCTCCCCTGGGCACATCAATGTAAGTCAGCCTTCTGCAGTTCTCCATCACGATGCACGCTGAAGCGTACCGTGCAGGGTGGGGTCCCCCTTCATCTTCGTCGAGTTTATGCCTGTGCACACGAGTTCGCCTGCGTCGGACGCGGTGTGGTTCACGATGACCGACGCGAACGCGGCGAACATGCAGGGCTGGTCGGCCTCCACGAGCGCGGCGTTGGCGCGCCGCACCCAATGCTCGCGCACGGTTTGCGGGACGTTGTTGAGGGCAATTGATGGCTGTGCGAGGACATTCTGAAGCGACGGGGAAGTGATTCCGTGTCGATGCCCGAGGACTTCGCTACCACCGGCGAGCACAAGAACGGACAGGAGCAGGGGGCTGGAGAAGATGGCCATGGCGCGCCTGGATAGAATACATCGACGCGGTGTTATATGTCATTGTCAGGCCTTTATCTTTCGGGGGCCATAGCTAAATGCATGGCTTGCAAATGACCGGGGTAAACGAGAACGAGTCGGGGATAGAGCCTTGGCGGGAATATCCTTCACACCTTCGGCCTGGGCTGCGAGAACAAATTAAACTGATACGGAGGGCCGTGTTATCCTCTCACAGGTATACTTATCGCTATGTTCTGTGCCTTGCACGAGGGGCTGCATCCGCTACTATCCGCTATCCATGTCTCGGACATGAACGTACGGTTGCCCGGGCGTGCCTGTGGTAGCGTTAAACGCTTACGCTCGCGTGCGCGAGACGGTGGCGCGAAGCTGTAGACGCGCTCGGCGCGCCGGCGGGACCGCGTCGATCGACTTGCCTCCTCCCACCTCATCTCCACTTGCACACTGGGCGGACCGTAATCATGGCTATCGACGGGCTCATTATTCTCGACAACACAGGGTCTGTGGTCGATCATATCACTGAGAGGCTATCGCGCTGACTGACCCTCAGACGCGCGATCGCCCAGTCCGGTTTCCACTCGTTTCCGCCGGCATATCCGCTGCTACACATCGACGCGCTAAATGTTACACTCGCGAGCTCGTCGCGTCTGGAGGATGTGGACCCGGTCTTGTACGTCACGGGCTTGGACACCCCGAGCGCGTGCTGCCATATCAGGCGCGGGGAACTGCGGTATTTGTGCCCTGTGAGCGGAGATGGTGAGTACGGCTATGTAAATGTTGCGCAGTGCATTCGAAGTCGGAGCTTATATGGTATATGGCCTACAGTTGACCCGCTGTACGCCTTTGCATTCCTGCAAACATTCGTCGACATCCTACGAGAATACTTCGGGCACGTCTCGGCGGAAACTTTGAGGGAGAACTTCGATGTGGTGTACCAGGTGCGTGCATTCTAGTATCTGTGACCCTTATTCTGTGTTCATACGTTTTGCACAGCTCTTTGAAGAGACATTGGACTCCGGAGGTCACCCCCTTACCACATCGCCGAATGCGCTGCGAGATATTGTGCTGCCTCCATCGCTTCTCCACAAAGTGCTCTCCGTCGCAGGAGTCTCTGGTTTGGCTACCACATCCTCTAACTCACATCCATTTGCGTCTCCTATCCCTTGGCGGAAAGCAGGCGTCCGCTATAACAACAACGAGATATTCTTTGACGTCATAGAGACATTAGACGCCATTGTGAACAAGTTGGTTTCAATTCATGCGGTATGTGTTAGCTGAACTGACATGTCATTTTCATAGAAACGGAACGACCGCGGTGAGCACAGTATGGGGACGGGTAGAGTCCACCTGCAAACTTTCCGGTACATAGCCCCCATTTTCGTAGACCGCGGCGACCATTAATTCCTTTTTGTAGGCACCCCGGATCTCGCCCTCACATTCTCGAACGCATCGACATTAATCGACTGTTCGTTCCACCCCTGTATTCGGTAAGCATATCAGCACCTCCTTGCTCTCCTTGCTGACTCTGGTCTAGACTGCAGCGCTGGGCACGAGACAAAGTGCTCTCCTTCGTTCCGCCAGATGGAAAGTTCAAGCTTATGGAATACCGCTATGCGCCCGTCTCGGCGAGCTCGCTGAACCAGGTCTCGGTGCCCTTCATTCTGCGGCCGGCCGTGAAGGTCGATGATCACGGAGGTATGCCTCACGTCTCAGCAGACATCTTCAAGTTCTTGGCACTGTCGTGTTAACGGCGACGTGCAGGCTCCATAGACGTTACGTTCAGCTCACGCTTGACGACCCGCACGATGGACAACGTGTTCGTAGAGCTGTACCTGGGTGAAGGCGCGACGGGGGCCAGCTGTATCGTGTCGCACAACGCGTCATGGAGCTTCAACCCTAAAACACAGGTCAGACGGCGCGCTCTCCTGCATCCTCTAAGCATAATTGGACTTTTATTTTTGGCAGACATTGGTGTGGGAACTGAAGGCAGTCGTCCCATCCGCTAACTATACCCTGAGAGGCTCGTTCACATCAGCGTAAGTGTCCCGCAATGGGTTCCGAGATGTAGGAGGTTGCTGACAGCATCGTACAGCGCGGAGACACCACGACCGTCTCGCGCCTTCCAAGTGAAGTTCGGCATCCCACAGCACAATTTCTCGGCCCTAAAGATCGAGCAGCTGAAACTCACCGGTGAGGCCTACAAACCATACAAGGGCATGCGGGGTAGCTCGCAAGGCAACATTGAGTGGCGATGGTAGTAGTAGACGACCAATGTAACGTAACCTTGTATGATGCTGAGGGAACACGGATGTCGATACCCACTGCAACCAAGTGCAGGCACGAAACTTGACCGTATTAAAGAGTACTTTTGAGCTCTAATGACTATACGAGGGTAAGGGACACACGATAATATGCAGCAACGACGACGAGTGAGTGGGGGAGATGACACGCGCCCCATCCTTCCGTCCACCAGCACCACACGGCTCACTGCCTGCGCTGCTCCGGCGCGACCTTCTGGAAGATCTCGCTGACGCGCGCCCAGTCGACGACCGTCCAGAACCGCTTCAGGTACTCCTCCTTGCCCCACACGCCGTACCCCGCGCTGACCCACGCGTGCTCGTGCACAGACACGCACATCAGCGGGTACAACACGCTGCTCCCCAGATTCTTCAGGTTCACCTCCTCCTCCATGTCCACCGCGTGCGTACGCGGCGGCTTCGGGAGCGTCGACATGCTCCGCGCGGGCGTGTGCGGGTTCAGCGGCGGGGCCCCATGCGCGAGCCCCGAGGCGGGCGAGCTGGGCCCAGGGGGCGAGCCGCCGGACGGGTGCGTGAGGGGCGGGGGGAGCGCGTCGCCCTCAAGCGGGAGCACGCTCTGGCCGGAGACGCGCTGCCACTCGAGGAGCGCGTCGGAGGGCTTGCTGGAGCGCACGAGGAGCGTGCCCGTGCCGAAGGTGGGCATGATCCCTAGCCGGCACTCCTTGTCGGTGACGAGCCAGACGTAGCCGGAAGAGAACATGCCGAGCGCGGCGGCGCTGAAGCTGGACTGGAAGTGTTTGAGCGACCCCCAGTGGTACCCGATGCGGCGCTCGAGAGTCGTGTTGCGCAGGGCGTGCTCGTGCGACGACGCATTGGCCGGTGGGGGTTTCTGGGGGACTGTGAGTTGCAGCTCTAGATGTAAGGCTGTAAGTACTCACGACACACTCGAGGAAGAAAGAGTTGTTGAGAGCTTCGGACGCGTAGTTGAATTCGAGAACCTTGCTAGGATCCCGTGCACCCTCTACCACCGTCTGCACAATGTTCTTGTTCTCCAGAGCGGTTCCTGAGGGGTGCCAGCTGGAATATCAGTACACCCAATCTACATTGCTCCCTGCCTGCTGTATGATGACACGCACCCCGAACCTGGTCGTTTAACCTGTCCAAAAGCCCCTGCTGGTAGTCCTCCGCAATCATCCTCAGCGAATTTGGTGGGAGGAACGTCCCGAGACCCTCCTCTACGGGGTACGGAAGCTCCTTCCTGCGGTGCAGCTCTCTTGACTGCACGCGACACGCCTGCGTGCGCACAGAAGCCAGACGCGCCGTACGCGAGGTGCTCGCCGCAAGTCGGAGACCGACGCTAGACATGGTCGTAGAGGAAAAGCAAGACAGCGGACAAGACGGCAGACACGCGCGAGTGACGGGGAGACAGACAGACGCGGAACGACCGTCGCTGTGGGCGCTTCACGAAACTTTTCCGGGACGCTCTCGGGCGCCTGTCTCGCCCAGGCGGTGTGTCTACTTTGGGAACGGCAGCTGCGCGCGCGTTCTCCGGGCCACCTCCACGTCGACACACTCACCCTCACACTCGTTCCTCCGCTTATTCTCGCACAAAATGGCCCCGTCGAAGACCGCATCCCAGGCGAAGCCGGCCGCGGCGAGCTCGCAGCAGAGCCCCGTCTTGACCCTGTGGAACGCCTACAACGAGACGACCTCGACGCGCCTCAAGACCATTGACGCGTTCCTGGTCTTCCTCATGCTCTCGGGCATCATACAATTCCTCTACTGCATCCTCGTCACCAACTTCCCCTTCAACGCATTTTTGGCTGGGTACGTCTCGGCAGTCCACATTGGCACACTTGTCCTCAACCATGTCCCACAGTTTCTCGAGCTGCGTCGGCCAGTTCGTTCTGGCTGCATCCCTCCGCGCGCAGGTGAACCCCGCGAACAAGAACGAGTTCAAAGAAGTCTCTCCAGAAAGGTGCGTGCACCCACTGTCAAACCCCTGCTAGCATGATCGTAACCGTACCGCAATTGCAGGGCGTTCGCGGACTTCGCTCTTGGCTCGATCGTACTACACTTCTTCGTGTACAACTTCCTCGGGTGATCGAGCGGGCAGCCCAGTGCTCCCTATTATTTACCACGGACTGGCGCGGACGTACTTGTACACGGGGTGCATATACCCTAACCATAGATATTCCACAAAACTGCGAGAAGCGTGCGAGACAGGTCGTGTGGCATTATATGACGTCGGAAATGAAAGACTGGGACCGGCGGATGGTGTTGGTAACGAGGATGTAGGCAGGTGCAGCTTGACTCACAAGGTTCAGGATGAATGGGAAACGAAAGTGGTGTCGCTCAAGACCTTCTCTCAAATGAGGAGGACCGCTGAACACGAACCATGGTTACTCCGACTCTCACGGAGGAAGATGACAGAAACGTACCCCGAAGATCACCACTGCGAAGTCAAACAGGTATTCTCCTATGAAAGAGTGAGAACGTCCACGTCGTATCGACGTGTAGGGCTGATCCGACTTACCGAACTCGAGGTAGGACCGCAGCACCTCTGTTCAATCACATGCATGTTAGATCGTCGGACGGACAGAGGCGAGTCTTGAGTATGTACTCACGGCGAATGTCTTTGTTGGGAACATCAGAGAGCTTCGGCCTGTAGTGTGCCCTGCCTCTTAGAAAGTGGTGGAGTTCGATAGACGGCAACACTCACGTCAGGCCCGTTGTCCTCCTGATCCCAGCGAGAAAGGCACTGAGCAGGGCCGCGTCGATACCCCAGTGGATCAAGGTTCCGAACATGGTTGGAAGAGCTGAGGGAAATTGTGCAAGAATATACAGCTGCGGGCGTAGTGCTGAGAGTGTGCTGAGAGAACCAGCGAGAGAGCGATGAGGAAGAGTGCCGAAAGTGCTGTTGCCACAAGAGGTTGAAGCAGCCGAGTCTGGACGTAAGGGCGCGGGCCGTTCCCACGTGAGTTTGTTTATTTCTAAGGCTCTTGCCAAACAACCGCTTACTACCTTGGCCTTGTACACTCCTCATCGCCAATTGCGACTGCCACGTTCTTTTCATCCCCAGCCCTCATATGAACCTTTCCTGTCAGAAAGCATACGCAGGGAAACAAGACGCGCTACGACGGATGCCGCTGGCTGTGAGTGCTCATTGAGAGTTGTCGGCGCTCACTAGGCCAGCCTGCGGCCGAGCAGTAACCGGAATGGTCATCTGGATTCACACACTGCGGAGATATGCATGCAACCTCTTTCATAATTGTGCATTCAGGACGCGAGGGACGAATTCCTAAGTCATGTTGAGAGACAGGCGGTGACATTGAGAATGGTCGCTGAGTTTTCATGTGCCTTGTATCTTCCTTCGCTAAGCTGTTCTATGTCTTACAGCTGTACACTTCCGGTCATCAAGTGAAATAAATTGCTATTGCATTGATAGCAATGGCTTCCCATTTCGATTGTTACCATCTGCGTATCACTGCGCCTGTTGAAGCACCGAAGTACCCTCGAGCTTCCTCGACGTTGACTCGTCTCGTACTGCGGCATCCGCTTCTATCGTAAATTCCGTACTATTGCACCCTCCGCAGTATCCGAAAACTACCCGGAGATCTCCCACACTCCCACTATGCATTGCCAAGTATGAGGATCCCTTTCTAAACTTGTGTCGGTATTGCGGGTTTTCTCGCATTCTGATTATTTTACTGGAGCTCATAGCGTTTTGCTGACAGAATGCTCGACATGTCACCGCATGCCGCTGCAATTGGCATTTACGGGGACGAATTTCTCAACTATCAAGCTCAAACAATCCTTCGATCGCTGTGGGCCATGTCTATTCTCGCGCTCGTCACAACCAACTCACACACGTCCACATTCTCCAGGCCTTCCCGCAATCGCAGGTACGTTTCTTAGATGCTCAGTATCCACCAGAGAAGACTTCTTTCTTTTCCGCTGCTAGCTTCTCGGGATCCGGTCACGCCGGGGGATCCTCTTCCTCTCTCACCAGCGGTTGGTAGCGTAGTATTAAACCTGTGTAGCCGCAGCTCATATAGTTCATCCTTGCGGCTCGCTCGAGCATTCCTGACCACTTCACGTATTTTTTCCAGACCCGATATGGAGAGGTTGATACTCACCATGTCTGCGCTCGCCATCTTCGCGCAACTTGAGCTGGTCTCTATATGTGTTGCTGCACGCCGAACACCACGTCGCGGAGAATGCATTCGTTGACAGGTGAGGTCATATCCTGCCAGCGCCCTCCCACTACTCACTTATTACCGTACATAGCCACTTCGAGAAAACGTCGACCAACACATCCATATCCACTTGGGCCTACCTCGATTTCTTGGTGAGGGGATAGAACTCCTCAACGCCCCCTCCCCATCCTCATCTATCGCACGCAGAAATCCGTCTGCCTCCACGTATTTGAGATACAGGAGGTCGCGCTGCAACGTAAGTCCCTTGTTCAAGTAGGCAGATCCTCGTGTCTCAACTGCACTTTCACAAAAGAACCCGATGCCAGCTTCTACCGCGCAAGCGCCTCTACAACGTCGACAGATAACGTGCTCTCGCCAAGATATGATGGCGAAGAATTGGCAATCACCTCTCTGCATCTGGGAGCAAAAGCTATCGCCGGCATAGTCGGCGGGTCCGTCGCGGTCATCGTGCTCGGGATCGTTTTATACCTCCTCAGTCGGGATAGTCGCCGCAGACGACAAGCTATGGCAGAGAATGGCCCAAGTGCTTCTCGGGAAGAATGCTTTGACGACGTTGTGCGCCGCAAACAGACCGCAGTGATGCCGAACGTGCGCACTGCTTGCTATCTTGTACAAGACGGTCGATGCTGATTGATTGATTCACGCACTACAGAACCCCGCAGACCCAACTACACAACCTTCTTTCGTCGCCAAAACGGGCGATAGAGCCGCCCTCCAACTTGAGGGACGTGCGGGACGTGTGAGGCTCGACTATTCCGTGGCTACGCAGCGGGGCCCTATACAAGCTGGGGTGCCTCCAAAGGCTCGACCAGCCGTGACGAAGACCTTATATGCGGAAATTTCGGAGCTGTAATCGTCGTCGGAAGGTGCTCGTTCTCGGCGTCGAAGGTGGTAGCATGTTTGGGAAATATTCTCCATCCACTGGAAAGCGGTATCACTAACGCAACACCATGTTAGGTCCCGAAACCCATCACTGTCGGTGTGCGAGAACCGCTCCAAGTTTTATTCATCCGCTGTGCCTACAAGGCTTGTAACGCGCGCCAATTTTGCCAACCATGACAACCCAGTACTAGTCAGAGCCGAGAAAAGCCGGCAGCGTACATCAGGCCTTTTGTCGTGGCCTCTTCTCCGATCCGTGCTGCGCTCAGTCGTTGATATCACGATCTGTCACTGACATAGCAATCGCCGTGGGTGCTGCCGAGATGACCCTCGAACCTTCACTGCGCTAATCCATCTATCACCAGTATGGGACCGCCGCATTCTTTTTGAACGCACACGTGTACGTTTTCCATTGACGACCTTTTACCGAGCCGCTTGTGCTGACGCTTCTTGCATCGTTTCACCGGCTTCTTTCATTTGATAGATCACTCGAAATACCACTGCGTTGGAATTCGTGCGGCTTTTGCTTGCATGGTTATGACAGTGTCCGGCTATCAGGGGTACTGCAGGAGGTCAAAGGCAGCAGCAATTGTTAGCCTCGAGCAAGACGCCGTGCATCTTGGTCTAGTTCGATGCACAGGTTCTTCTCCAGCTGCCGGCGTGCTTCCAAGACGAGGCACACCTTGGATGGGACAGGGGATTGTAAGTACCGACGCTCTATGTGCGGATGTAAGCACTTATTTGCGCCCCAGTGACCAGATTGTGTTGCCTACTAGCTCCTACTAACTGATTTGTACACGCCACACGATCGCAGCACACGCGATGCTGAAATGCACAGCGAAAAAGTTCGTGAGTCACGGCTGCGTCTGTTGCATAGTCACCGCCGCTCATTCCAGAAGCCTCAAATACCGCGTCTACCGCGCTTGCTGTTGGATTCCTGGATCCGATCCCATCGGGTGTTTCCGGCACCTTCGTGCTTTCTTACCGACGTCTGGCAGCGCAGCGTTAAGCCTGTGTAGCTGGAGATCATCAAATTATCGAGCGCGCACTCCTCGGGCTCATATACGCTATTCATTTGTATCGCTCAAGAGCTCCGCATTCACTCCACAGCCCGCTCACTCTCAGCTACCATGCAAAGGTTGATTATATTCGTATCTTCGCTGGCTGTCTTTGCGCAACTCCAGCTAGTTCACATTGGGGCATCCGCGCAGGCCACTACCAACGCTACGTGCTTCCCGTCATACTTGGAATGGGTAAGCAAACAACACACTCGGTCCCTGTGCTAATGTTTACCTGCTTTATTGGGGCGCCTGCGCCTGCAGATGCATAATGAGGAAGGGCAGTCTCCCTGCCTGGTTGCAGCATACCTTCTTTCGCCCTGCAGTACCACTGGATCGGGTGAGACCATCGCGTCTCATTGCATAACCTTCTTCGAACGCCCTTTCGTATTGCTAACACCACAAGTTTGTTAGGCGGCTTTGTCCCTGCGCTCAAGGACTCAACCTCATTATACAACTTCGACGGTACCTCTTTGGAAAGCAGTGCATGCGTCTGTAGTACGGTGACGTTTTCGATGCTGTACGCTTGCGCTACCTGCCAAGGCGCAGAACTTGCCATCTTGCCGTTGAGTCTCCACATCCTGTTGTCAGACTGCCAACCGTTGAATTGACGGCAGGCCCTTCGATTGTGTAGCTGGTACATAGTCGCAGAAAACTGCACTACTACATTCACTGAAGAGTAAGGGGAACTCCTGCCAAAGACACTGAGTCCGACGTCTGTGCCATTATGCTAACTGTCCGTTCATGAACGCAGCTATCCCGAGAGAATATCGCCTAACACGTCTGTGCCACGCTGGGCTTACCTCGATGTCCAAGTGAGCCAACCAAACTTGCCCTAAATTGACAGCTTCAAACGTATCTGTCGCGCCCAGCAAACCGGCCGCCTCGACATATCTGAGGCAAAGACTATAGCGTCGGAAAGTAAGTGCCCTTTACCCACTCAAATAAGTTTAGGTATACCAATTAAACATACACAGATCAACCGGATGCGACCGTGTCTGGCTTTTATGACGCATTATATCCGACGCCCTCGGGCAACGGGTTCTCGCCGTACTACGGCGAGCAATTCGGGTCCGAGTCCCTAGGGCCGAGCGTAGGCGTTATCGTCGGCGCCGCCGTCGGTGGGACCATTGGTGTGATAGCAATCGCGGCCGCCCTCTTCTTCCTCATCCGGGCCAGTTGCCGCAGACGACGAGCTATAAGGAATGCGGCGGCCGCTCCAAGCGTTCCGCTCAAAGAATGTGGCTTCGACGACGTTGCGCTCACGTCCGCGGCGAGGTTATACGTGCGTATTGGCCGCAGCCGCACGAATGGGACGTTTAATACTTACTAGTACTCTTCCGGGCATGTACAGAACCCCGACGACCCCACCACGTATCCGCCTTTCAGTGCCGCGTCGACAAGCGAGAAGGCCGCTCTGCAACAAGCCGGTGGACGTGCGTGGATCGACTATCCTGCGGCAATACCATGGGACTCCGCAAAAATGATTAGCAAGCCTCAGGACATCCGTCCAGCGGCGTCAGAACCCGTCTACCCCGGACAGCCGGAGGTCACGGTGTAGTCTTCGGGGCGCGTGCGCGACCGAATTCACTAGGAACGTCACGGGGGATTTGAGTACGTGCACAATGTTTTGTATTCGTGGGGTATTGCTCAATTGGTGGCGGGTTTCGTTGGACCTCGACCGTGTTAATCTGCAAGTATTTTTGGATATTTACTCGAACTTGAACGAGCGAATTGGAGCGTGCTTTCGGTTTGGACTGGGCGCGAGGGTGCTGCTCGGCCGCGATGACCGTGCCCAGGTTGGATTCGCCGCTGAGGGTCCCCCTCACGCGTACACAAATAGATCACAGGCTGCAGCGGATATCAGCCTCCAGCCAGCCTCCCTTGGATAAGTACCCCGCCGCGACGTGTCGATCCCCCATTCGCGCTCTGTTCCCCCCTCCATCCCCCCTTCCCCCCCCAGCACCCGCTATGAGTCACCACGCCGACAGGCAGGGGCCTTCAAGACACGGGCTCTATCCTGGCGTCAGCGATGTTCCCAATTGCCGATGGGCAGGGCCGCTTCAAGCGTCGTCAGAGTACTGCAAGCAAGCGGTCAGAAGCTCCTCAAGACTTAAGCGCATATTGAGTCGAAGGTGGGACGGTGAGTGTTTCTTTCCCCGAGGGAGGGACTTTGGTCCTGGCGCATACCTTTTCGTGGTCCTCGGGATAAGTACCTGCTTGTGCGCGGCCCTTTAGGGCTGCGCGCGGGTGGGGAAACCAAAATGCGTTTTTCTTTTGTTTGCTTTCCTTGGGAGCGGGGTCCGGTCTGTGCACTGTGGTGTGCGCGACGTGTACCCTGCGGTGGCTGACCACTGCAATCAACCTGGACCAAGCTTATAGGCTTCGCCTGGTTGCATAGCGCTGTATGACAGTCTGCGTACCCCATTTCATGTATGCCGCTGGTTAATGTCATGATAGTCTTGTGTAATGCTCGAACGAAGTGGGTCAGACGAGATGCTCGCCGATGCATGAACGCGCATTGATCCTGAAAGCTGTGCAGCGTGGTTCGAAGCTTGAGGAGAAATTGCGTGGGCCAGGTGTGCTTGGTGGACTCAATCGGAATGCCACATCCCGCCCTCAAACGTCTTCACATCTCAACCAGCAGTCTCAGCAGCCGCGAGTGAGAAACGTTACCATATAACCATGTAAGAATCATAACAGAAAAAGCATAACGGGGTCATGCGCCCTGGCGCAGCACCAGGAGGATGAGCAGCAGCGTGCAGCCTGTGTCTACCGACGAACAGGGGGCGTGCGCGGTGGGACGGCAGCAGTGGCAGTGGTAGGGCTACTTCATCGACCATGTGTATCGGTGTATCGAACAAACGAAGATGCAGGTGGGGGAGGGAGACGCGCAACAATAAAGAGGGTAGTCGTACACGGCCCGGCCGCAACCCGTGCGGGGCACACATCGGGAGGGCAAGAGAGAGAGCCTCGGGAGCCGCAGGCTCTCGGACGTCGTGGAGAGGGGGGAAGGGGAACTGAACGCAAAGGCGGGGGTGGAGGGGCAGAAGCACAGGGGGGGATATCGGAGGGGAATACAAGGGTGGTCCGTAGTGCCGGGGGAGGGGAGGGGGAGGAGAGGGTCATGGAGCGTTCAGTCCATGGGGTGGAGGGGAGGGGCATGATATGTAACAGGGATATGGAAAACAGCAGACAAAGCGACATGTCCGTGAGATGAGATGGACGTGAACGGCATGTATGTGACGATGGAATGACACACTAGACCAACTAAAAGGTTAGCTCACAGCCGTGCGGAAGGGCGGAGGCCAGACAGACTTACCCAATAACTTAGATATTCAAGACCCCTGACGCCGTTCTCCTCATTTGGAAGCCAAGGCCGGTGACGGCACCTTGGCTACCTTGCTTCCGCTCCTCCTCGAGTCGAACTCGGAGTTTCTCAAGCTGCTTTTCCTTCGGGACAAACGTGCGCTCCCGCGGCACCTGGGGCTTCGCAACGGCAGTCGCAGTCGCATTCACGAACGAAGAGTCGCTGCGCACATGGCTTGCAGACCCAGAGCTGGACATGCTCGAGTCGCTCCCACTGGCGTCGAAGCATCCGCCTCCTGAGCGAGGGGACCACAGCAGCGACGGGACGGGTATGAAGTTCGTGAGCGCCTGGAACGACAGTCGCGCAAGCGTAGGGGATATGAGCGACGGCGAGGTCGGGGCAGAGGAAGAAACTTGGGACTCCGAGGGTTTCGACGAGTCGGCGGCGAAGATAGAGGTGGGAGGGGAAGGAATAGTGGGCGTCTTCATAGCTGGAGCCGGGACAGGAGGGCGGGATGTGAGGGGGCGAGGGGACCTAGAAACGGCGTCGGCTGTAAACGGCAGCCCGCACGATGTGAAATTAGACACACATACTCGCAAACGAGGCGCGGGACGGAAGCCTACTGGAAGTGGGAGGGGACATGACAGGGATGGCGCTCGGCCGTGGGGACGAGGCGGCGCGCTTCGGCTGCGGAATGAACGACGCGACCTTGCCGAGGGAAGGAGGAGAGGGAGTCTGAGGGGCGGAGGCACGAGGCTGGGGTATGAACGTGGGGATGGTCGATGCCCGCTTGGGGGGTGGGGTTGAGAAGATGGAGGGCGAGGTGATGAGACGAGGAAGAGGGGGTGGGGAGATCTTGGCGGGTGTGGAGGTCGAGGTCGAAGGGGTAGGAAGCGATGACTTAGAGGGAGATGGCGACCTCAGACGGGGAATAGCCGAGGGAAGGGGACTGCTACGTTGAGACTTGGATTGAGGGAACGTGAAGCTGGACTCGGCATCATCTTCGTCGAAGGGCTCGAAGAAATTGCCAGACTTGTTCACTGACTCGGGCGTGGCCGACATGGTGAGGTCGGGAGTGCTCGTGTCGGCCTCTGCGCAGTATTCGGAGGGAGGCGGGCCAAAAACGAACTTGATCCCGCCCTCGTCCTCCTCGCCGACGAACTCCTCATCTGCAATGCCATCGCAATCACGGCTGTCATCCTGTGACTCTTCTTCTTCTTCTTCCTCCTCTTCCTCCTCTTCGACGACCACGTCGAGGACGTGCTGAGGTGCCGGAATCTCGGGAGAGACGACAACCTCGCCCACATCCGCAGGGATGACAAACGGCGGCAGGTCGTCCTCGAAGTCGACCAAAGCCTGCGCGAAGAGATTCTTGCCACTCTCGACAGAGCGCAGCTTGGAGTCTAAAGGGGGCGAGTTGTCGACGTCCTCCAAGCACCCGAAGAAATGGTCAACCTCCTCGGGCTGGCGGTGAATGGCAACGGCGGCGGGACCCTTAGGGAAGGACCACGCCCGGGACAAGGTAGCGTGACGCGCGTGCGTCGGCTCCGAGGGAGAGGGGAGCGGAGAGGGCGACGCGGAAGGCGATCGGCTGTTGACCAGAGCAGGCGCAGAGCCAGTCGAATCCCCAGAGAGCCGGGGCGTGGTGCTGCGGGAGTAGTCCGCGACAGAGCCGTACGACGAGGTCGTGGGGAACGCGTACTCGTCGTTCTCGTCTTCATCCTCATACCCTGCCAGTTCGTTATCATCGTCATCATACAAGCTCTCGTTATCGTCATCCTCGTCGACCTCCTCAACGGCCTTCAGCTCCGGGCCGCGGTTGTCGTCCACGGAGTCGACGTCGGTGAATGAACTCTCCGAGTCGATGGAGCGGAAGCCGAGGCCGCGGCTCTTGGCGTACATCATCGTGCGTGAGACGGTGGTGGGGACTGCAGCACTGAAGGGGCGGGGGGTATCGAGGAGGCCGGCGTGCTCGAGCTCACGCTCCATCTCCTCGCGTTGCCTCCTCTCTTGAAGGACTTCCTCCCGGAGCCGCGCGCACTCATCTTCCACCTCACGCATGCGCTGAACCTCAGTGGTCAACCGAGCGACCTCGTTCTGAGACTTTTGAAGGTCAAGCTGGGCAGCGTCGTACTGCGCCTGGGTCTCCTCGGCCAGCGCAGTCTTCTCCGAAAGAGTCTTCTCGAGAGCAGACTTTTCAACCTCGAGCAGTCCATAGCGCTGACGGGCGACCCAAGCATCACGGCGTTCAATCTCCAGTCGCTTGGCGTGGACGTCGGATTGGTGCTCCAAGTCCGCGACGCGGTTGCGCCAGCCATCGACGTCTCTCTTGAGTTCGTCCCGCTCCGCCTTGAGATCGGCGATGAGCTGCAGCATTTCGTCAGAGGGCTCCGACAGAGCCGTCGACGACGACGAAACGTCCGAGGCACACGAGACGGGGCGCGACCGGGGAACAGAGCGCTTAAGAGCGCGTTCGAGATCGGTGATGCGCTGGACGAGCGTCTGGTGAGCCTGGAATAAAAAATGCTGCTCGGAAGTGGAGAGGGGACGGCCACGGAGGTGGTCCATGTCAAAGCTGCTGGTGCTGGAAGTAGACGTAGACCGCCGACGGTCGATCGCGCTGGTCGTAGGGGTCATCTCCGGAGTCGGGAGGCCGTACAAGGACATGGGTTGAGCATCACCGGACGACACGTAGCCAATGCTGCTCCGACGGCTTGGCTGAGGAGCGACGGGAGCACTGGTGTCCATGGAAAGATTGAGCGAAGGGCGCCGACCGAAGCTGTTAGAGGTCGGGTCTGGCGATGACATGATGAGTGACTGCCGCTTGTTGACCGCGGTGTTGCTGCTAAGACCAGACAGGCTCTGCACAGAGGGGAGAGTCAAAGACTTCAGACCGGGGCGAGGGCTGGGGGTAGGCGACGGCGTCGGGAGGTCACCGTTCGACGCTTGCACGGAAGTGCTCAAAGCAAGCGACAAGGGGCGAAGGTTGAGACTCGCAGGCCGATGGCGGGCCGGAGCTGGGGAAGGTGAGGTCACCGAGAATGCGACCTGGGAAGCGATGGGCGATTCCTGCACGGGGCTAGAGGAAATCTCCTGCACATCTTCGCCTTCCTCCTCCTCCTCTTCTTCCTCCTCGACCAAGGTCCCGAGCAGTTCGCTCGAAGGAGAGGAAGCCATGAACTTAGAGTCACGCTTACTTCCCATAAGGGTGTTCAGTCCCCCGCCAAAACCAGCTCCCACACCAGGCGGGAACGAAGGCTTAGAAGCTGAGGAATGGTTAAGTAAGGACACCGATGACGCCGGTGGGAAATACGCACGAAAATCAAAGCTTCGCTTGGGCACCTCAGGCGCATCCAATTCAGGTATCTCCACCGAAAAGTGTCCAGCATCTGGCTTCCCCTCCAGCGCCCACAGGGCACGGCGCCGAACGGAGTCTTTGTCCCCAAGGTTGATGTTGTCCTCTGAGATGGACTGGGGGAGAGTAGGCAGGGAGACGCCCATCATATCTGCGGATTCACGGCGCGTAGAGACCGACGAGCGTCGCCGATGGTGCGAGTTACGCTTTGAGCCACCGATTGAGGTCCTTGTTGGTGAATGAGGTGGCGAATCGCTGATGGACGATAGAGAGGCGTGGGAGGGTGCTGGTGTGGCAAGAGGCATAGGTGTTGATACGGAGCTGTTGCGAGAGTGAGAGCGGGAATGGCGGGTGGGCTTGGGGGCCGTAGCGTCTGAAGGCGACTGAGGCTTGCCAAAACTGAAGGAGGTCATCTAGCGAGAGCAAACCGAGTGGCTCGGTAAGATGAAGCGGGATGGGCGGGTAAGATCGCGTAAAACGTACTCTCATCCGTTCGGCGTCGACGCCGAGCTCGAACGCGACTGGGGCGTGGTCCATGTTGACAATGCAATGTGATTTTGTGGGTTATCTGGTACAAAACGAAGGACGGTTCCGGAGTGGATTGTGAGGGACCAAAGGAAGGGCTGGACCAGGACTCAGACGGACGGAGGGGGTGAGATGGCAAGCCAGGGCCTGAACAAAACCAACCGGAGCCCGCCCACAAATACCAGCTGCCCGCCCGCCGGCAATCCCCGCCCCACGTGGCGCCGCCTTAATTGACACATGCCTCCCGCTCCCACCTCGTCCCATCTGGCGTGCACACATCAATTCCACGTCCCCCGCCATGCGCGCCCTCCCAGCGAACGTCGGCGCGCTGCACGCTGCAGTTGCCATCTGCTCCGTCTGACACCGACATGTACCCGACGCCACCCGCGCGGCCACCCAGCGGAGGCAAAGGCTACACAACGCCACAGTCCCGGAGTTCCTAGAGCAGGCCTAGGCGGCCCCGCAACCCGGGCTTGGCCCGCTCGATCGGTGTCCCGCAGGCAATTACCCCGCTCCCTCTTAACCTCGCGTCATCTCGACGCTCTTGTACACAAACTACTCGCCGTGCAACTACATATCGCTCCTTGGACTTGTCATGGCTACTAGAGCGATCGCTAGACTGATCCCAGGTCGTACCGTCTTCTTCGCCTGCGACATCCAAACAAAGTTCAGTAAGTCGATCCCCGAGGATTGCCGCAGTACATAATGATACAGCCTCTGATCCACACTGCGCCTTAGAACCCGTCATATTCGGCTACGATCATGTCGTGGCGACCGCGCGCAAGATGTTTAGAGTCGCAAAGGTATGCACATTCACTCTGGGTTATTCTATATGGAAACCCGGGTTACCTTGGGTACCCCGGGTTCCCAAACGATACTCGTAGAAACCCCGGTTTGCCCGAAGGGGGGCGCACACATTGTTCAAGCCAGCCCTGTGCCATCCGGCCATAAGTTAGATGTTTAGAACGTTGTGCGTGCTCGCATTCTTGTACGAAATCATGGAACCGCGAACGCGCACGCACACACCTGCGGCCGCCTCTCCTTTCGGGCATGCGTCGTCCGGCGGCTTCTAAACTAGCAGAGGGGTTCCAAGCAGAACTCGGCCTTTTCAAACGGATTCGTCCATACCTCTGCGCACGGTTGACCCAGTAGACCGGCACTGACACATGCGCAGCTCCTCGAAGTTCCCGTTCTCATAACAGAACAGAACCCGCGCGGTGAGGCCCCACACCTGCTCAGCGGCGCCATCCACCACCACTAACCAATGTACCACCCTCCACGTACTGCAGCCTTAGGGCCGACCGCGCCAGAACTCGACCCCAGACCCCTCGGCAGCCTCTTCCTCGGCGCGCACCCCAAGTCTGCCTTCTCCATGGCGATCCCCCCCGTGCTATCGCTGCTCCAGCAGCACGACCTCCAGTCGGTCGTCCTCTTCGGCATCGAGGTACGCGCCCACGTCTTTTCTGGCATGGGAATGCCGTCCCGCGTGTTTCCCGACGATCCCGCCGGCGGTCCGCCATGCGCGCATCTCTTGCTCGTCAGAGCAAAGGTTCTCACCCCAATTCCTCGTTCATGGTCGATCAAACCGTGTACGATATTGGCGCGTAACATCTGACGAGCAAGGATGCGCCGCTGCATGCGCCATTCGATTCTCAAATCTGTCATGCTGAACCTTGCCTTCTCCTCCGCAGTCACACGTCTGCGTGCTGCAGACAGCACTGGACCTCCTCGAGCGCGGCTACGACGTACACGTGCTTGCGGTCGGCGTCTCCAGCTGCAACAAGGACGAGGTCGGTATCGCCCTCGCGCGCATGCGCCAGGCGGGGGCGCAGATCACGACGAGCGAGAGCGCGGCGTTCGAACTGCAAGGTACGGTGCCGCGTTCTTCGGCACCGAAGAAAGTGACATTGACAGATGTGGGGTGCTGTGTGTGTCTCCAGCTACTGCGGACAAGCCCAACTTCAAGCAGTTCTCACAGATCATTAAGGACGAGCGGGAGAACACGCAGGTGGCACTGGAGACGCTCCTCGGTGGTCGAACCCGACCACTTTTGTGACCTGCGACTGACCTATCAAACAAGAATGTAATTCTTCAGGCGAAATATAGAGGTAGCGATATGCACTAGGGGACAGAAGCTCCCCGTAGAAGACACGAACGACAGAAAGCGTATTTTGGTTTCCCCACACACGCGCTTCCCCGAAAGGCCGCGCGCGAGCAGGTACTTATCCTGAGGACCACGAAAAGGTATGCGCCAGGACCGAAGTCCCTCCCTCGGGGAAAGAAACACCTACCGTCCCACCTTCGACTCGATATGCGCTTCGTTCTTAAGGAGCTTCTGACCGCTTGCATGCAGTACTCTGACGACGCTTGGAGCGGCCCTGCCCATTGGCAATCTGGGAACATCGCTGACGCCAGAGGAGAGCCCGTGTCTTGATGGCCCCTGCCTGTCGGCGTGGTGGCTCATGCGGGTGCTGAGGGAGGGAAGGGGGATGTAGGGGTGGACAGAGCGCGAATGGGGGATCGACGCGCCGCGGCGGGGTACTTGTAACTGGAGGGAGGCGGGGAGGCTGGCATGCGTTGCAGCCTCCGATCGATCTGGGCTGTCTGGCGAGTCGGAGGCGCACCCGGGTTGTGTGCGGCGGGTCCCTCGCGGCCGAATACTCGGAGCGGTCCCCGTCGGAACTGAAAGCGAGCTCCGATTCAGTCGGTATGCGCTGGGCTGGGCGAGTTCATCCCTGTCCACCCACAGCCGCAGATGATGAACATGACGGCTTCGTAGAGTACTTACGCGGAGTCGATAGGGATCTGAAGCACACCAAGAGCAACACACAGTGGTTTCTAAGGTCTATATGCATCTCCTCCAGTGGCAATGGGCATGAGAGAAAGCGGGCTATCCAGTGATAACAAATGTGTACCCTTGCGGCGCGCTATCCAAGCTGCAGCAACCGTTCTCACAGTATTTCGAAATACTTGCATCGATCGTGAAATATACACTACTGTTACAAGATGGCCGTCAGCCGCGCTTCGTACTAGTACAATGTCTGATATCTCCGAGAACTACTGCTGCAACAGTTCCATCGCCTTCTGCACCAAATCGTTGAACTCGACCGCGTCGATCTGAGCCTCCCGACACGCATACTGCTTCGCCTTGTCCCACAATCCTTCCCATACCGAGCGGCGGCCACGGAGTGCGATAAACATATACGCCGCCATGAGCACGGTCGCCCACACGTGCTCCACGTCGGGACAGTTAGCAGCGGCGCCTGCGGAGCGGAGGGAGGCCGGGATGGCGTCCTTGATCTCGTCAAGCGTCAGGGTGTCGTTTGCGCGCTGCAGTAGGCCCAGCAACTTGTCGTCGAGGACGGCCGAGCCATCGTATTCTTGGATGCGTGCAATGGCGGAAACGGGGTCACTCCCGGCTACCAAGATCGGCCCAGCATCTACGCTTGGCGCCGGACTCTCACTTTCGAGGCTTGCTCGCGCCAGCCTCTCCTTGGGCGGATTAAACAACACTAGCGCTAATAATGTTGCCTCTCAATTGTCTGCGAATGAAGTGATACGAAGGAACGTACTTACGAGCGACTTGTGGGGCAGAATCGATATCGAAGGGTACTGTTGTGTATGGCGTGGCCATGAGAGTGAGATTGGCCACAGGGTGCCACATAAAGGTGGTGGCGGGCATTCCTGCATCTCAGTCAGACCCAGCCCTTGCATAGCAGAGTCAAGTCAAGCGCTCACTGGTCAGCGATCCTCGTAAGGCCTGTAGCGCAGTCCCTCGCGTGAATCGGGACGGTGCTGCAGCTCTCTTCGAGAGGATGGGCGAGTCGGGGCGAGCTGATGCAGGGGACTGGGTAAAGGCGGAAGGGGGTGAATATTCCTCAGGCGGTGCTCCCCGAAGCGGCACTGTTTCTCGAGGCGGTGAGGGCGGCGCCATTACCATGTTTTTCGTGGATGTCTGTCCGGTATAGGCCGACGCAGGAGGCTGCGTAGGGATGTTTGGGACGGAAGCAGCTGGACACTGCCGGGTCGACGGTGTTTCCTGCGAGGGAGATGTCGCCATGCTTCTCGCTGGTACTCGGAACGGCGATGTTGCCACTTCTTCCCCGTAGGCAAGTTCGGGTTGGACCACAGGAGGCTGCGTATGGATGTTTCGGATGGAAGCAGCTGGACACGGCGGCGGCCGGGCCAACGGTGTTCCCTGCGAGGGACATGCTGCTATGCTTCTCGCTGGTGCTCGGGACGGCGACGTTGCCACTTCTTCCCTGTAGGCACGTTCGGGTTGGACCACAGGAGGCCGCGTAGGAGCAGGAGCTAGTATTCTGTTGTTCAGCTTTTTCCCGCACCTTTAAATTCGGCGTACTGGTTATGTACTCACGAGCCGGAGTTTCTCGTGAGAGTGTCACGATTCCGCTTGTTGACGTGAGGTTGTGACTCAACGTTAGACGCTGCGCGGAGGTGGAAGCTAGTAGTTTTCAGCCCTTAGTTATATGCTGGGCTGTCGAGAGTAAGGGACTCACTGGCAGGCAGTGTTCGTTCTGAATGTGGCTGGAGCCGCTTGGCTCGGTCCCTCACAGCCACAAACGACGTGAACCTTGTGGCAAGTGAGTACTTCGTCCCGTACTCCACGACGGCGGTCTGCACTATCTCATCGTGCATGTCATTGCTCCCGCCATCGTTGAGACCAAACGCGCCGATATCTCCGTCCTCGAGCGTGCGGATGATGCGATGCGCAGCGAGCGTGTGTAGGAGCGGCGGACGCTCGTCCGGATTTGCTATCGTATATGCGACCTTGAACGGAGGCAGGTGCACCGCGCTACCATCGGGCAGTACTCCAGAGAGTTTGACCACTTGAGGGATCTCCACAGTATCCGTCAGAATAGCGGAAACAATGAATCGGTTCCCCGGGTAGAGGTTCGGGATGCAGGGTGGAGCCTGGAGCACCGCCGGAAGAGGAGGTAAGACAAATTTTGGCTCTGCGTCTGCCTTCACCACGGATGGCGGCTTAGGCTTCTTGCTGAAAAGACCGAGCACCTTCTGAGGCTGCACAGGCTTCGCAAGCTCGGGCGGGGCTGGAGCGCGCGGTACGGAATGGTAGCCCCAGTCAATTGTGATACCAGACGCAGAGCCGTGCGAGAGCGTGCGCGCAGCCTGGAGGAGCTTGTTGCTGCGCTCTTTGATCTCCTCGTTGGTTGTCGTCATATAACACACACCTTTCCCGACCCGTGCGATGCCCTCGCATAACACAGTAGACGCGCCCGAACCGATACCGAGGGTAAATACGCGCAGAGGGCTGTCAGGGGAAGCACCTTTGACCTCGCTGCCGACGAGCGCGATGACTTGCTCCGGTTCCCATACCTAGAGAGGGAGCGGTCAGATTAGGCAGGGACGCCGTGGCATAGAGGATAAAACCAATTACCTCTCCGTCTGTCAACACAATCACCGACATGGGCGTATTTTGCTGACGATTTCTGAATATCCAACCCAGAGCTGAGCTAATCTCAGTGCCGCCCATGTCGGAGCGCATGCCATCAATATACACCTCCTTCGAAGCCCAGTCATCAGCTTATATCTCACAGATCTTGCATGTTTTGGGCTCACCGCTTCCTGTACCGCCCGGCGCTCATATGCAATGCTCGCCCCCCAAAGTGATGAGTGCTTGCTGCCAAAAGAGACGATGTTGAAGAGCGTGTTGGAGGTGGGGAGATTCTTGATGAGGTGGTGAAGCGCATCCTTCGCATAATCCATGCGATACTCGTCCCGCATACTTCCGCTCCGGTCGATGAGGAACACGTACTCCTGGGATTCTACGGTAGGAGCACCAAAACGAGGGACCGTGGTCAAAGACAGAGCCACAGTTCGGGCCTTCTCGTCGACCTCCGCTACACATCGCGGAGCGTCCAGTTTCTCCGCTTGGATAGAGATAACTAGGTCTCGGTCGAACGGGGCTGGCTTGCGAAGCTTGACGGTGGTGCTGTAGAGTGGCGCCGGCCTCGACTGGATCCTCGTCGAAGGCTCGACGTCGATCTCGTGGGAGGGAGAGGTGATACCGATGATCTTCGATGTAAGCTGAACGGTCGCATTGAACGACAGTGTTGCGGAGTCGTCGCTGGAGCGTCCTTGGGACAGTTCCGGAGGAGCAGTCCCGTATCGCTTCTTTCCAATGAACGTCGGAATAGCGAAGCGGATCTGGTTGAGGAGGATGGATTCGTCGTCGGGAACCGTGGTCGCATACTAGGACAAACATGGTTAGGTGCCGCAGCGACTACGTTATTAGTATATGCTTACAGTGATCTTGACCGTGACGTCTTGTCCGGCGGGGATGGCGCCGACAGAGATTGCAAACACTGACGAGTAGATCAGCACGACGTTCCTGAAGTTTTTGGGAATCATTATGACTCGAGGTAAGCTCACCGTCAGCAGTGATCTCGTATGCGAGGCCAGCCCATTCGCCTTGGGAGACCGCGTCCTGGAATACCTTCTTGGCCTTCTCCGTGTCTTTGACAACACCGGAGACGACGCTACCATTGGTAAGCTCCATCTTGAAAGCGCACACAGACGCGCCTTCGGGAATGGGAAAGAGATAACGGGCATTGGTGAGACTGCCGCTCGAGAAAGTGGTAAGATATTTCTGGGTGATCACGACGAGTGCGGACACTATGACAATGACAAGCTTCAGCAAGCAGTGCACAGCGTTTAGAAGAATATATACCATCGAGGATCCATGCATTGACGGAGACACAGTCGAGAGGAAGGAAGACGAGCTTGCCATTGGGGGTGATGGCACCAAGTCCGGAAGGAGAATCTTTGGCCTGTTGACCCATGTCGAATATCGGGGTAGTACCTCGCAGATACAGTCTAGGAGCGATTGAATGGTCTCCGAGTCGTTGAGGGCAATGCGTCACAGTGAAGCAGAGATCTCCAGCTGGCCAGAGAGAGACCGCCCAGTCTTAAGCTTGTGCTGCGGTAGAGGAGCCTGCAGTCCTCAGTCGATTGGGCCGCCCGGGGCGCCTTTGCCTCGCATTTTCACGGCAGGCCTGTCGGGGCACGAAGGCGCTTGGTCCCGTCCCCTCTTTTTTGCTCGTATCGAAAGGCCTCCGCAGACTGAGGAGCGTGCCCGGCGGAGTGTCTGGAATGGGGGCAGTGGCAGTGTGGGACTAGCCTAGCTGTGCGCCCACGTGTGGCGCCCCTCCGTGCACCCTCCCGCGGCCTCGCGTACATCTGCGTACATACATCAGTGATCCCACCCCACCTCTGCTCCCCCTGTCTGCTCTCTCGCCCGTCTCCACTCGACCGCCACTGGGCTCCGTACACCGCGCCCATCGTGCGCGCATATAGCCCGGACTTGGCTGCAACGCCGTTTCGCACGGCGCGAAGCAAAACCCCGGTTGGGGCAACACCGCCATCCCATTCTGGCACTCCGTTCAGGAGCTCTCCCGCCTCGTAGCTCGCATCAGCGAGTCCGCGTACACCACGGCCGTAGAGGCACTCGCACACGTAAATCAGATGCGTTTACAGGCTCCCCCGGCGCGCAATGCGCTGACAGCGTCCCCCGCTCAGTCCGCGCCCACCTTCAAACGCACGCGATGTCTCGCGCTTATGGCGCAAATAGTGCGTATGTGCACCCCTGGACATCCCTGCGACAGGGCTAGTCGAACAGACGAAAATAGCAGTGCGGACAGCACGAACACTCGGAACTCGCCCCGCGTTCAGGAGCTCTCGGGCCACAGCGCTTGCGCCGGCGCCGGCGCGTCACCGACCATACCGTGAAAGCGATCATATGTCAATCAATCTGGTGCGTTCGCAGGCCCGCCCGACGCGAACTGCGCTGACTATGCCCACTTTACAGGCTTCCCGTGCTTCCAATCGCGAACCCCCGCGCCCCTCCGCACCGCATACGTTGCGAAAATCGTGAAATATGTGCGCTCATACCATCATGGCGTACTCGCAACGTCGTGCGCGATGCGCTGCAAAACTGCGGTCGCGGCGGCGTCGACACCATCTTCACGTCTGGACGCGCGCGCAAGACCGACGTCTGCCAACCGCGCCGCTCGGCGCCCCCACACCGCAAGCTGAATATATGCTCACCACATGCTGGCGAGTCTGCTGGTGAACACACGAAGACGCCACGGACGAACACCACGCGGCGTGGCGGGCAACGGGTTGCACCAACCACAGAGTCCGCCGCCTCTCCTGCCGCTGCAGCACTGCGTAGGCACGCCGCGAACGCATGCCGCACGCCGTCGACAGCATATCCCTCGTATCAGGCGCGTTTTCAACTCGCTCGGATGCGAAGTGCGCTGACGACGTCGCATTTTCAGGTCAGGAGGAGCGGAAGCAAGGTAACCAGGGTGTCGTCACCGGCCTTGGCTTCCAAGTGAGGAGAACGGCGTCAAGGGTCTTGAATATCTAAGTTTTTGGGTGAGTCTGTCTGGTCTCCGCCCTTCCGCAGGGATGTGAGCTAATCTTGTAGTTGGTAGTGTGTCATTCCATCGTCACATACATGCCGTTCACGTCCATCTCATCTCACGGACATGTCGCTTTGTCTGCTGTTCTCCATGTCCCTGTTACATATCATGTCCATCCCCTCCACCCCATGGACTGAACGCTCCATGAACCTCCCCACCCCTCCCCCTCTCCGCCCCGGCACCACGGACCACCTTGTATTCCCCTCCCGATATCCCCCCCTGTGCTTCCGCCCCTCCACCCCCGCCTTTGCGTTCAGTTCCCCTTCCGCCCTCTCCACGATGTCCGAGAGCCTGCGGCTCCCGCGGCTCTCTCTCTACGGTGCTCAACGCGACCGAATAGCGAGCGGTCGCGCCCCGTCGGGATCGAAAGCGAGCTCCGATTCGTTCATTCGGTTGGACGTTGGTCTGCGCTGGGCTGGGCAAGTTCAAGTTCATCCACGTTCGCTGACCATTTACATGGCGGCTTCGTGAGGTACGCGCAGTCTGTAGTAATTTGCAATGATATAAGAGCGGAACGCAGTGGTTGTTTGTGTTCAGGCGCATTTCCTCTGACAATGGGTACTTATGCGAGGTCCCTCGAGAAGCTCTTGCCAGTAGTGAGCTATCCAATAGCGCTCCTCATAGAAGAGGAGTTTAGTAATGATGATCCTGTTGAAAGGGCCGCTTCCCAAGAGCTTCAGATGTTATGTGGATATTTCAGGTTTTGTTCTAGATGTACATAGCGGAGAGACAAGAAACTAGACAACTTGTTCACTGTTGGTTCACTGACAAGGGCATGCACGGGCGTCTACACGACGTGCGGTCCGATCCGGTGTGGCGAACTGCCTGATCCAGAAGCCTCCGACAAGTTCGGAGTACGAACGTTCTCGGGCGCAGCCACTGCGCAGCCTGAGCGTCTCAGGCTTGTCTTCGCCGCTCGCGACCGCTTTTTGTCTTTCTACTCTCTGGTGACGTTGGACTCAAGGCTGCCGAAGCGCAGGTCGTCGTTAGGATGAGCTATATAATAATAACCTCGTGCTTGTGCTTGTCCACAACTCCGTCCCTTTCGTCTACTGCAAGATGCATCCTCCGACCAATTTGCGCTTTAGAGATATAGACTTGACTAGCATTGAACGCTTAAGGGACGTGGAAAACTACTGGGCTGAAAAGTGTCTGCTCTTTGAAGCTCACGGATACCCCGTAGCCTGCGACTCGGACTAGCGTGCACCGAACCGCGTCCACGAGGCAACTGCCAGTGTGACCACAACTACCTCTCGCTTGCTAAGATTAGGGTCCAATATATGGATGCCTCGAGTACGCCGAGGAGCATCCACAAACCTGAGGGCCGTAGCCGGACGTGCCCTGGCCCCCCCCCACGCGTGCTTCGCATGCCCTTCACACGGACCCACAAGTCGGCGGCCGTGTCCGTCGTTTCAGCGCATTCTGTGCGGGCGAGCGAAGCACTCCCGAACCACACCGTGTGTGTTGCGCGGTGCTCGGCCGTATGGAAACCCGAGTGTGCTGCACGACCGAATGTCACCTCGAGGCTCTCCGCCGGAATATGTGGGCGGTGGTCCGTGATGAGCGCCCCAACCAAAGCTCGGTCGAACGCTGAACGCTGAGCTCTGAGCGGCGAACTTCTGGTCAGGGACTCCGAGTCGAGGCGACCAGAAGCTGAAGGCGTGGTGGCCGTGTACAGGAATCAAGTGGGTGTATTCGATAGCTTGAGAAAGCAGGGAGTACAACAGTAGATATTCAGAGCGTGAGGAATCGGACACAGCATGGAGACACGGGCATGATAAGCATGATAGTACAAGTGGTGCGGGTGTACACGATCGCGAACTAGGCCTCGTGGGAGCAACACGTCGCTGCGTGACCCCAAAAGAAGGACACTCGTGCGCGCGAAATAATGGGCGCAGGATAGGCGCGTCGATGCCCACACGACGCACTGTGCGAGAAGGGAACACGATGCTCCCGCACACGGGTGAATGCAGATAGGATCCGAGGAGCTGCCGCTCAGATATTCGAGCCCAGCTATCCGCGCGCCGTCAGGACTGAGAAAATCCGAGGTCAGAGTATACTCACCAGCAACAGCGCGTCGCGGAATATGCTGCCTAGCAGGGACTCGTCGCGCCCTTTCGTCCTCCAGCGTCGTTGCCGTATGGGAGTTTGCTGGCGCATAAGCCTCCATGCCTCGAGTGCCGCAGCAGCATTAGGGCGTGCGGACGGATCCTCCGCCGTCATCGACGCGACCAGCGTTGCAATCATTTCTAGGTTCGAGAATTTCTAGGGGTCTGCAGTGAATACCAGGAGTGAAATAAAGGTAGAGAGGTAGAGAAGACGTACAGCGAGGAATTCCTTGCGGAATAGAGCGCCGAGGATGTAAACGTCCGTCTTGAACGGATCGTACGGAACCGTCTCCGACAATTCCGGCACGGTGCCTTCCAGACCTTTGACACCGACGACCAACTTTGACGCGTCATCTGGAGAGAAAAGCGTGGAGATACCGAAGTCGATAAAATAGTAGGTGACCAGAACGCTTGAGCGAGGAAGCGTAGGCGCAGGAGTTACTGTATCTGACAGCATCTCCCAGTGGAGAGGGTGATATCCCTTCGGGTACATGGCGGTGACGTCCATCATGACGTTGCCGTATGCGCAGTCACTACGGCTCGTATTCAATAAATAATGTACTATGAGAGGAGACGATGGAGCGTACCGGTGAGCAACATTGTGCTCATGCATGAACAACAACCCCTACGATACGACGTTAGTGAGACACATATATGAGGCGAAAGAACATACATCGAGTAATTGCTCGCCACACTCCAGTATATCTTCAACAGTGTCGAACGGCGGCTGGTCGATGTTCCGCAAGTACGGCATGACCATGATGCAAACGTCAGGGTCGCTCGGATGCGACAAAGCCTCCAACAATGGGATACACCGATTGCGGGGGTCATCACGAAGACTTCCTGAGGAGAAGTAGCGGCATATGTCCAGCTCTGTGGATGTCTCCTGAACGGCCTTCAACATCACCAGCTTGCCGTCCGAGATGCGCGTCGCATCTATCATGCGGCTGCGGTATAGCTAGACTCTGGTGTTCAGCCGGATATGGGTGGAGAACGTCGCAAGAAGCGCATACCGGAAGGCCCATCCAATCCTCTGTTTGAGCAACGGTAATATCGGGGGAAGGCGGCCAGACAGGCTTCCAGTCTGGATGATAGCGGGGACGTAGCGTATACCCGTGTGCCTCCAAGAACGGAAACAAGTCTCGCCAATAAGTTTCGTGTCCGCCCAAGCGGAGGTTTTCTATGGTGCAGCCAAAGTATTCATCCATTGCCCACGCGGCAGCAGAACTGAGATGGATATGGCAGGGATGAGGCTGCGGGGAGGACGGGGGTGGTCTGGTTGAGAGCCCTGCTAACGCGTGTACTTGTGACAGAAAGGCGGCGTAACCCTAACCTGCAAACATCAGCCCAATTCAGGTATTTGGTTCCATGTTCTCGGGCATTTGATGGGGTTCTAAGCGCCTGCAAGTATCGCCGCTCCTCACGATCTTCCTCTGTCCCATTCATCCAACGCTCATCTCACATTAGTTTTCTCCAAAAAAGCAAAAACATAATGCTCGTGTCTGCAGTTCATCCGGAACACCACCTTGCCTATCATGGGACAAATCCTGAAGATCACTTCCCACCGTAGGGCTTGTACCGGAACATATAAATGCAGTACCGGTCAGGCAGCGAGTATGGCCAGTCAGTCGAATCTGTCGCATCCGTTCGCCGTACCGACTCTCAGCATCTCTAACTCCCCCAGAAACCACCGTCTATCCTCCACCTGCACCATTTCCAACTCACCGTCGCAATGGCAGCCGCTTCGAACCAGTGGGCAGCCGTCGGGGATGCTGTCAACTCGCTCTCGTTGGTAGAGACGGGGGTCACCATCGTGCGGTTCAGCCTCGGGATGCTCACTGGATGGGGTACCGTGGAGTTTGCCAAACGACTCGGCCCGGGCGGGTACAGCCGCCGCCTGACCGAGCTCGAGACGATCATCAACTCATGGGACACCGTCCTCTACAACCTGACGCCAGCTACCGCCGGGCGCATTGAGGCGGAGCATGGCGAGGGCTCCGTGGCACTCATGCACGTTCGGCTCAAGGCGTAAGTCCTTTATTGCTTCTCAGCTTGAGGGTTTCGCTCACTCTTGTGCCGTCCTAGCATCAAGATGATGTTCGGCCGTCTCAAAGTCCGTGATACGAACACCTCGTTCTGGGAGAAGTGCTCGCTCTGGAAAACCCCGCTGTCCAAGGATTACGATCACGTCCAAAATGTGGTAGCCTCTGCCGACGCGTTCTTCAAGGTGGGTTCTGAACAAACCTGCACTATCCGAGACTCTGACCTCATGCTTGGTACGTCGTACGCAGGCCTCCACTGAGCGCGCCATGTGGGACCTCATCCAGAGCATGGTGGGCGAAGCCCGCCAGGCGCAACATCAGTCTATGCAAGACGCAACTTCTATGGCGACCTTCACGTCCCCGCCTAGCGCTCACGCAGGTTAGCTACTAGCAACTCCCGCCTTCTAGTTGGCAACGAACTCACATCGACGTTTTTACAGGACTTGGCGCACCTAGTACGCTTCCTGCCCCCGTAACTTCGAGGGCATACCACACCGGCACATCCGCTGGGCAAATTCCCACCGATGTAGGCGCGAACACCTTTGATCAACTTGTGCAGTTCACAGTCGGTATGGATTTCACCCAGGCCGCGATTGCTCGAGTATTGCGCGCTGACGACATCGTACAGCATTTTTGTCGCCTTTCGCCAGGCGCCGCGGTAATCTCACCCAGCGGGGCAACCAGGGCCCGCCTCGTGGATACACTCGCGTCTGACGCCTGCATGCACTGCAGGTACAGACGCTTGTGCACGAACACAATTCCTAATATCCGAGCAGGGTCACTGGTTTGACCCGCACGCTCGAGTGTTCCTTGGATTCGGTCAGAGTGCTGAATGCACCCTGTCGTGTCGTTCCTTCGACGCTCGGCACGACATGCGCGTGCAGCATATCTATCTTGTATCTTGTATCCTCTGTATCTCCCGTCCTAAATTATCATGCTGGGCAGAATTCTCCCGCGTACTATGTGTTGACCGTCCCGTGCAAAGGCGAACTCATTAACGTGACCGCAAGCGCTAGCGAGCACTTAGAACTTGGAGCAGGATATACATATGGGGTATATTGGCAAACCAGGACCCACAAACCTTGGCGTTAGCGCTAGTAAACCCGCAAACCCCGAAACGTGCATCATACGGTGTGGCTTGTCTTCTAGAGTGTCGTCGACGTCCAAGTCCGGGGCCGTGATCAATTTACGGTGGCTTGGGACGTCGCACCCGTTTACATCCTCGAGGCTTTGTGCTGGGATTCCATGGTTGGCTAAGTAGACAGCAGGATACTTGCGCGCGATGCATATCAGTGACTGGCGCTGCGGGGTTGCGCGGGAGCGCAATATCACCCCCGTTCTCCCACCGCACGAGAAGAAGACTTTCGGTCCGAGCAGCGCGCCCTTGTATTTGGACAACAGAAGATCTCTGCGAGCGCGCCAGTTTGCTCTGGATCTGATGCCGGGAAGCAAACCGCACGGTCCGTGCACCCCTTCATATGGACCCACAGACCGGGTGCTAAATCCGCCGTCGCATGACTTTGTCGTGGCACCCAAATATCCGCGCGCTGTTGTGCCACGGCGTTCTTGTATGCTAGGGAAGTCAGCGGGACTGTTGGGGAGAAGCCGAATAGTCGACACACCGTCCGATAATCTCGGCCAACGCTGCGAAGGCGAGGCAGATAGTAGCCTTACACGCCGCCCACAGACCCGTGGGTGAGAGCAGCAACGCCCACCGTCAAGCTAGAAGCGTCGCGTCTTATCGTGTCGTCCTCAGGGCTGCGTTGTCGCGTCATCTCGATGCGACGGGGACATACGGTTCTGGACCGCTTGAAGCCAAGCGCAAAACGCAGGATGCATGGTGTGAAATCGTGTATCTCCATACTGACTCGAGGCCGTTGTTCTTCTGCCTCGAGGTGTCAGGTTTGTATTGACGCACCGACTGGCATCGCGGCAGCATACCTGAGTGCCCCCCCCCCC